AGTTTTAAGATAAAAAAATTGGGGACTTTGCACGAAAATTTTTGGGGAACCCCAAGCTTTTATAAGAACCCTTACCAAAGGGGGGGTTCATTTCAGGGGGCCCCGGTTTTTTTCGTTACGAAACAACCCCTTTTTGTCCTAGTTAACTGTTTTTCCCGAAATTTTGAGGAAAAACTTCAAAAAATTTTTTTCGAGGCCCAAACTACAACAAACAGCGGTTAATTTTAATAAAAATGTTTTTTGGGCAAGGGTTCCCCAAAATTTAATTTCCCTTTAAGGTACCAAAAAATTGGGGATTTTTTATAATATACAAGATATGATTTTTTCCCACTTTATACCCCGTTAGATTTATTGAAGTAGGGAAAATGATTAATGGGAAATTGTTTATTTATTTTTTTCAGACCGTAATAGATATATTTTTTAAATTTTTAAAAGAGACAAATAATACATGTTTTTTTTCCAATTAAAAAAACCTTTTTTTGTCATGCCTTTCTTTTTTCTAAGATGACAAAAAGGGGTTTTAAATTTATTTTTTTATAACATTAGTCGTCTTCGGGGGATTGATTTTACAAACCAAGGGGTTTTTCCCATGGGTGGAAATTCAAATTCCCCCCATTGCTGATCTCATGTTGGCCCCAAAAAAAAATTTTAAATTTTATGAAAGGGGGCTTCAGGGGAAAAAAAAAAAAGGGAAATTTGCAAAGATTTATCCAAAAATAAACGAATTTTGTTGACGTTTTTTCTTTTTATTTAAATAAACCCCCTTTCTTTAATAAATTGGGTTAAAGTATTTATCCCCAATTCAAATTTGGGGATGGAGCGAGCTGGTTAAATAAAAAAATCTTTTTCTAATTGGGTTTTAAAAATTAATATTTTTCCCCAGGGAAAGGAATAGAAAAAATCAGTGTTTTTAAAAAAACTGGAAAGATTTTTTTAAATTTTTATGTTGTATCCCTTCCCCTTTCCTCCGGAACCCTCCCCCCGAGGTTGGCTACAACGTTTTTTTTTAAATCAAGTTTTTAGAATGGTTAAAGTTTGCACTTGATTGGAATCTTTACCTCCCATCTTCACCCAAAAATTCCAAAAATTTTAATTTTATAGGGATTATAGCCCTGAAAAGACCGGGTTTTAAAAGGCCCTTTTAAAAGTTTGTTCTGGGGAAAAAATATAACGTTTTCAGGAAGGGTTCCCGGGATTCTAGATGACCGTAACCCCTTATTTTAAAAAAAATCCCCCCATATCTTTTTTATTTTTTTGAAAAAAGGGTACTAACTTTGGTAAACTGAAAAAAATTTTGAACCCTTTTTTGAATAAGTGTTTCAACGTGCCCAAAAACCGAAGTTTTAGACTTTACCAGTGAAAATGGGCGAGCGTACCAAGTGTCATTTTAATTAGAAGTTTTATCAAATGATTTATTATTGAGCTTGTAATTTAAAAATTTTTTTTTCTCCCATTTAAAAAATTTTATTTTAAATTTTTTGTTCCCCTTTTCTTTTCCCCCCTTTTCTTTTCCCTTGTCATCCCCTTTAGGGTTTTTTTTTTCTTGCTTTTAAATGGTACAGCTAAAATTTAAGCTAAGTTTTCCCAAAAACCAAATGGGAGGTGGATCGTTGGGGAAATTAAAACGGGTTTAACCCCCGCAAATTCCAAATCGCAAGCGGGACCACTACTGCATAGTCACAACATCTAAAGTGCCCTATAGTGACTGCAATTTTCCCGGGCTGACTGCAATGTTTTTTCTTTTTCCCCATTTGAAAACAAAGATTAGTTACATTTTTTGCTTATGATTTTTATTTTATTTTTACCTATAGTTTACTTAGATTTAAAACCCCCTTTGGGCCCATAGGGGCGTTTTTTTTGACCCACCCTTTTTTAGACGAAAAAAACCAAAATTTTCCCAAACCCCTTTTTTAAAGAATTTTAGCCCTATATGCTCAACATTTATTTGGGGTTTCTTTTAATGAAACCCCCCCTTCGTCCCCAAGGGTTTAAATACAGCGTTTTATAAAGGGAAAAAATTTAAAAAGGGGGAAAGCCCATTTTTTTTTGCATTATGAATTTTCATCAATAAAAACTTTCCACACGTTGCTAATATTTAGAAAATAAAATTTGATTCCTAGTCAGTCCCAAACAGAATAAGGTCTACAGTTTAATTGTGGCATGTTGAGACTACTATAATGGCTTATACTTTGGAATTGTAAAGAAGCTACTACATCAGCTCCAGTTACAAAATGATTTAGCCAAATACTTTAAAGGGCAATATCAACATGACCATCTGAGGATGAACAGTTCAATCTTTACTGGTTGAATATGATGAAAAGGATTTCATTCAACATCTTATTATATGGTAGAGTCTACCCTTTAGGATTAAGTATGTAATAAAAACCATGGGAATGAAATCAAGTATAAATGAGTAATTTCACTCAATGAGGAAAACATAACAATATAGTTAACAATTTAATTACACGTGACGAAATGATAATTCAAATGGAGGAAAAAAGGAGTTCCGAATGTGCAACAACAACACTTAATAACTTGTAAGGTATTTTTGTGGAAATAGCGCTTGATTTTGATACTTCGGTGTAAATTGTCCGGAAAATATGCGCGGCGCGCATATAATTTTAAAAAAAAAAATTTTTTGGTAAGAATTATATAATTATATTAAATTTAATAATATGTGCTGCTAACAATATAAGTCATTATTAGAAAATAAATAAAAAATTGTCCAAAATATAACACCAAAGTACCAAAATTAAACCACTTTTTTGGGGTTTTATTTAAATAAATCTTAAATAGCAACTTATTTAAATTTGTTGTAATTTTTAATTTCTTGCAGCGTGCACATGCAGCTGCGTTTAAATTTTTTTAATATGCCGTCAATGCGACAATGCAACCGCTCCTACTAAATCGCTCGCCCAAATTTTAAAAGAATTCTTGTGAAAAGGCCCTTTTACTTTGGGTGTGATATTGATCTGAATCGGTGTCTTTTTTGGACGCTGATTCCGAATCACCCTCCATGAGTAGGGTAAAATTGGTTGACGATGTCAACCCCATCGAGATCGTTGCTCTGCGACCGAAGCGGCGACGTCCTCCAAAGGTAAAAAGCTATTCTGGAGAGTTATGGGCCAAAAAACCGTTTGGTCACGTGACAGGCTCAGTAAACATGAATTCGACGCGCGAGTGTTTAGGGCTCGGGTCTCGGGTTAGGGTTGGCTCGTGGTAAGGGTTATGGATAGCTTAGGGGTTATGATTATGGTTAGGTTGGGATACGGGTTTATGTAAAACCGTTTTGTACGGCTGCAACAAACATTAAAAACCCAAAGTCACTTGAAATTTTTGAGCGAGCGAATCTAGTAAGATCCCAATGCAACATTCAACTTTATAACCAAAACAGCGCTCAGCCTGTCATTCCATTTGATTTATTTACTGCCTAATTCTCTATGATTTAAAAAAATTGTAAACATAAAAAATAATAGCCCGGGGTCCCCAGGCTACTATCTAATTATATATAATATAGTAAGTCCCTTTTTAATTTTATTATGGTCACTGGTCAGTGGGGATCAATATTAATTCATAATGCCAATTCTTCGCAGTTCGGCGAGGCCCAGTGGTGCATCTTGCTATGATCTACTAAGTACTATTGAAGATTTACTGTGGAGTGTGGTTGCAAGAAACATTATTTGACTTAAAATGTGGGAAAGTATATGGCAATTAATATACTTATATAATATTGAGGGGTCGTTCACATATTACTGATTACGTAATCACCTTTTGAAAAATTGTAACTCCTTCCTTAATTAGTTTTACACATAACTATTGTGTAAAAATTGCATTGGCATAATCATTTGGAAACCCCCTTCCTCTCGGCTGATTATGTATTATTGAACAACCCCAATCGTATTGAATGTACAGTAATGCATTCAGACTCAGTTCCTTGCTTTGGAATGAACAGAATTAATCTTAATTCAATGATTAAAGCTAAAAGATGATAATATGTTGGATTGTTAGAAATTTATTTATAAGGGAGAAATCTGTGATGATAGCTATTTAGAAAGCATTGATAAGACAACGTTTAGAGTATTGTGTTCAATTTCGGAATCCAGGTGTGGTTCAATTTAACAATGCTGGCAGAGTGGCGTCTTCGTAGTGATCTTATTGAAGGGTATATTTGACTTGGTAGATTATGGGGTGTGTCTGTTTGGAATAAGCAGTTCTGGTCCAAATGTTATTTTGGGAATTATCTTACTATATATAAAGCGAGACGATATATATCCGTACCATTTTACTGACACCACGGCATCAACTTTAACGCGACTTTCCGCAAAAACCGTAAAAGATATACAACTGAAACTTTTTTGACTGGATCAAATGCTTTAATGGCCTCCAATTCAGCATGAAAAAATAAAAAATTGGCCATGAATTAGTGATTTTAGAGCCCAAAATTTGGACCCCCAAGTGGTGTCAAAAACCCAAATAAATAGGTAATAATTATTTTAGTCTGACACCGTTTAGGGTTATATTGTACGGGTTCCTGCTAGTTATACTAAGGTGTAAGGAAGAATTGAGGGAACCCATTATGTTAATAATAAAGAAAAGCATAATGATTTGTTTTATTAAAATCTTTATTTGATTAGCTATTTTTAGGTGCTTATGTTGTAGTGGAAAGAATATTTAACTACTTTTAATTTCCCATCATTTTACCTTTATTCATAAATTTTTATGATGATGTTTGTATCATTACTATTGTATATTGATTTTTATATTGATAAAATGTCTCTCAAAACATAATTTGAGTTATGCCATTCTATCCACCAATGAAAGATATTTTCCTGCTGAAAATCATTCCAATACAGACCGTTATGTCCTTACATGATGAGAATGGAAACCTACTGAAAAACTTATTTTATTATTTCAGATTTCCTTTTTATGGATTCAATAAAACAATCAGTTTGTTTGTATCCTTTTATTTTTCATTTTCCATCTCACAATATGGCATTTAAGATGTGACAGTGTGTAAATTAGTAGCCTGTAATGAAAGGTGGCTATACTCCCGTGCCTCAAGCCAACAAAGATGAGCTTGATGGTGAAACTGTTTACCCCAAACACAGTGAGTAACCCTTGGCGCAACCTAAAATAGCTGATTTTCTTTTAATCAGAAGAATAACATGTAACCCACCATTTTTGATAAGGTGGCTGGTAACCTTGAAATTGTTGTTTTCTTGAAATCAAGCTAATTGGTACATATATATACTCACTTGAATTCTCAGGAGGGAAGAGCAGATCGTACTGGAGATGTTTTTATGGCATTGTCCTTATTGCCTTGGGTATTGGAGCAGGTTTTGCTGCTTGGAAAGTGAAGGAAATTCACTCCAATAATATTGTCGCCAAGCCCCTTTATGACCACAAGCTGTACAAGGTAAATATTGTAATGGTGCATGAAACTTGGGGAGTAGAGCTATATTGATTATTGGTCAGTGCGATTAAACATAATTAGTTGTTAAATTGTAAATATAATTTTAAACAATTGAATCCCTTATATATATTCCCAGGCAATAAAACTTCATAATGGAATGCACATTCTTTTAATTGAGGACAAGGAATCTCTTCTCTCTGGAATCGGCCTCGACCTTCAGGTTGGTAAAGAACAGTTGGTATTTATAGAACAGATTGAATAAAGTTTGATTGCATGGCTGATCTCTGTGGTAAGTGATTTATCAACCGTTTTGCAGCATGATGGTATCTCATTATAAGTTCTCATGTAATTGTTATTTGTACCTTTAAATGACGAGTAAAAGTCGAGGGACCTCATGTTTATCGGGCTGAACCAGTCTAGAAACAATGTTTGCTATTAGTTAAAAAGAACTTTATTGGATCAATTGAACATTGATGAATTGTACATAATATTGTGCATGATATCCTTGTAAAATTGTTCTTCGAACTTGGATGCTTTAAAAGCTACACATACCTCACATACCAACATAGCTAACTCATTTGTAGAATTGTAGTACCATCTTACACTCTACAAATGCGAAGTTTATTTGAACACTGATCCAGTGTGGGTAATATATACACATATCTACAATCTACATATTATTTGTATATATGTACACATATTCACATATTATAGCTCATTCTGATTCCAATGAGGATTGATAACTGTTTAAAAGTTTTCTAAATATAAAATGTGCCCATATCATTATATAATATCGGTCCACAGTACCCTGATCTAGCGTACTTCACAGAGCATGCCATGATAATTAGTTAATTAATAATCAATCTATATAATATTAGTTAATCCAATATTGTGGCCAGGTTGGTTCTATGTCTGATCTGTCAGCAGGCCCCCAGTATCTTGGTCTGGCGCACTACACAGAACATGCAATGTACATGGGTTCTAAGGAGTATCCCCGGTTTAGTGAGTTAATATTTCATAATGTTATTACTATTACTATACTATAATATTCGTTATTTGTAATAATATTGTTAATATTTCATAATGTTATTACTATTACTATACTATAATATTCGTTATTTGTAATAATATTGTTAATATTTCATAATGTTATTACTATTACTATACTATAATATTCGTTATTTGTAATAATATTGTTAATATTTCATAATGTTATTACTATTACTATACTATAATATTCGTTATTTGTAATAATATTGTTAATATTTCATAATGTTATTACTATTATTATACTATAATATTCGTTATGTGTAATTGATTTAGTGAGTTAATATTTCATAATGTGACATACGATCCTTCATTCTCATTTGATTTGATTTAAAACTTTTACAACCACGTGTTCAATTAAAAAACAGCCCATCTAATTTCTAACCAACTGCTTACAGACGAGTTGGCCAACTTCCTCCAGACACACGGAGGTAACGACAACGCCTTCACCACCCAAACCCACACAAACTACTACTTCTACGTTAACTCACGCTCAATTAAACACAGTATTCAGATATTCGCTGCTTCCTTTCGCAGCCCTCTCTTCGACCCATCGGTATGAAAAAAAGGCAATTTCGATAAAATACATTTTTTTAAATCGAAATTTTATTGGTTACAACGAGATTGGTTATTTCATAAAACGAGATAGTGTTGCTACTGTGTTGATAAATTGTCAATAAATTTTCATCAGGTACTGGAGGGAGAGAAGCAGGCGATACAGAACGAATTAGAAAAGGATATTCCTCAAACTGGATGGAAGAAGTTTAGTATTCTAAAGCTTATGTCTGACCCTGACCACCCCTTTCACAGGTTAATATTAGTCAATATAATATTAGTTAATATAATACAATATTAGTTAATATAATATTAGTTAATATAATATTAGTTGATATAATATTAGTTAATATATAATATAATATTACTGAAACATGTAATGTTTGTTTCCCAGGTTTAACGTTGGGAACAAGGAGATATTTGACAGCGCTGATTTTGTTACTAAGATAAGGTGGTTCTACAACAAATACTACTCTGCTAACCTGGTAGTTATAGATCTTGATACAACTTAATAAATAGTTATAAAGCTTAATCAACAATAATAAAACATAATATTAAATTGGAATTCTTTACACACTGAGTAAATTCTTTACATTGGTAAACTAGGGCTCTGTGGTGAAATGATGTGCAGTTTTTCATCAGAACTAATACTGTGGGGTTAAGTTAAAATTATTGGGGAGTACAATTTGATACCAGACGGCTAATAAAGTAATAAAATAGTCACATTTACTTAACATGATTCACCTCAATAAAATGTGAATAAATAATAAATATGTGACCAAATGTGTAACCAAATGTGTGACCAAATGTGTGACCAAATGTGTGACCAAATGTGTGACCAAATGTGTGACCACTAAATAAATACTTTCAGATGAACGCAGTGATTCTGAGTAATCTCCCTCTACAAGAAATAGAGATGATGGCAAGAAAGGAGTTTTCAACTTTACCTAATAGAAACATTACCAAACCTACCTTCTTTAGTAACCCTTATCCTACTGGCACTAAGTTAGTTACTTTTTAATTTAATTCAATTTTAATTTAGTTTAATTTTAATTTATTCAGATTATTACTTTATTTTGTTATTTTGTTATTTTGTTATTTTGTTATTTTGTTGTTTTGTTATTTTGTTATTTTGTTATTTTGTTAATTGTTGTTTGTTGCTTATCTTAATTAATGATATCATTTAGTGGACCGTGGACTAGAAGGGATTCTCGAAACATATGTTTCGTTTATTAATTAGCTTTATAATTTCTGGTCGAATAGAAGGATCCAAAAAATTCGCCAAATATTTTTCACTGGTCGCAGTAACAAATAACCAACCTATATATAACCATTAATCAGTAAGTTACCCACCAATTACCACTAATCAGGTCACTTAACCACTAATTAATTATTGATCAGGTACATTAACCAGTTCACGGTATACGAAAACGGGGCTCTCACTCAGGAGCTAGAACTTCTTTTCCCTATAGCTTCATCTGAAGAGGTAAGATAATACTGTTAATAAGACTTGCAAAAACAAATAAATAAGAAAAATATGTTCAATTTTACCAAAATCATAAAGTGATAAAACTTCTGCCATAACGGAATTTTAAATTTACCTTTACTTCAAAAGAACACTAAACAGGAGATGTAGTCAGAACCCCAATTTAATATTAATCAACTCAATCGTAACGCACAAACTTAAATAACCATTTTTGCTGTACTATTGGGTGAAATGATTTTCAAACCGATAATTAATTTTATTTTAACTTATTCTAGGAAATGAAGCTGGACCACAAGCTAGTTTTAACAATACTGGGAGACGAAAGTCAGGGTACAGTGACTAGTCACCTACGCGATTTGGGGTACATTATAGGTAATACTAGTCATAATAAACCCAATTTACCACAAATCCTGATTTACCGTGCCTTTAACCTCCCCCCAAACGGTACCTCAGAGTTTTACTGTTCTCTCACTACACTAGCTAAGTGTAACATAAATACCATCTCTCACTGGCCGGTGTTGGTACATTTACACTTATCCATACAACACATTGGTCTCTTCTCACTGATTTGATTGGTGCCCTCACACTCTTCATTTGTTACTAGTTTGTTACGACAATCTTGATTGGGTGACAGTGAAATTGGGTGGAGCATTAGAATACTGTATTAGTATTTATGATTAATTAGACTAACTCGATTGTAATAAACTAGACGCTCATTTCACAACTCTATCTTCAGATCTGACAGTTAGCACTCTGACATTCCCAGAAAGTTTCAGCTGTCTTACAATCCAGATACATCTCACTTCTACTGGTAAATAATTAATCAATTAATTAATTAATTAATTAATTGCTTAATTGATTTGAGTTTTATTGTAGCTTTACTTTTACATCTTTTTAAGATTTTAGATATTTGTCCCATATGCAGGACTGATTAGCTCTTTAGAATTTTTATGAAACTATCGGAGAGTTAGTTTCACGGTATTATATATCAATTGATTAATCGAGTAATTAATTATTTGCCACATAAAAGTTATGAAAGTAACGTAGTGGTCAGTGGAGAGTAGAGTTGAATAACTACAGGGCCTACAGAAGGGGTATATTATACAAAAGGTATATTATACAGATATTATATATTTGTTCAGAACTTCAATATGCTTTGTTACTAGAACTGTAATTATATTATATTTAACCGAGAATTAGTTGTACTGGCCCCAACTAGAACTATAATTATATTATATTTAACAGAGTTGTTAGTTGTAAAGGCACCAACTTTAATCATAATAAAGTTATAATAATTAAAGGGGCAGTAAACTGTTCTCACTCATTGAGTGGCTGTGTATGCTCTCAGTAAAAAGTGTATCATTTCGTTATTATGATAGGTACTAGTGTAACCCCTGCCTACGGCCGGGACTTCACTATCGTAGTTAAAATGCAAAAGTATAAACCCGCCTATTATATGATATTATTATATGATATTATACCGTTTTCTTGATTAAGCCGCTCGGAAATTACACGCGCACAGACAGACACACAGACAGACAGACACACATTCTGAGATTATTATTTAAGATTACGAATCACGACTATCAAAATCCAGCTCAAATTAAACACATTTCATAAATGGATTAAGATGATTTATCTAACATACTTTATGTCCAGGAAATCTCACTCTCAAACCTCCTAACAGGTTCCTGTAATGTGAGGAAGATAATTAGAACAGTGTTCGACTACATAGATCTGATGAAGCGGGAGATCACCAAATCTATATGGGAGGACAACTTTAACCTTCAGGGTATTAGGTAGGCTTACTTACTTACTTACTTACGTTTCTGATTATTAACATTATAAAAATTTAAATCACTATTGTCTTAATATCTATACTAGGACAGGATTATAGAAATATGTAAAGTATTATCAAAATGATTAATCACTGATCAATTTAATTACGATACTACGATAGATTCAACTAATAACTAAGTAATTACTAACTACTGCAGATTCGACTAATAACTAAGTAATTACTAATTACTGCAGATTCGACTAATAACTAAGTAATTACTAATTACTGCAGATTCAACTAATAACTAAGTAATTACTAATTACTGCAGATTCAACTACCACGACGAGTCAGATCTGAAGACACTTCTCAAAACAATGCCGGGGTGGATGTCATCAGCTTCATCTCCTAGATACTATCTTAACAACCAGGTAACTAGGATACAGTCTCCTAGATACTATCTTAACAACCAGGTAACTAGGATACCGTCTCCTAGATACTATCTTAACAACCAGGTAACTAGGATACAGTCTCCTAGATACTATCTTAACAACCAGGTAACTAAGATACAGTCTCCAAGATACTATTTTAACAACCAGGTAACTAGGATACAGTCTTCTAGATACTATCTTAACAACCAGGTAACTAGGATACAGTCTCCTAGATACTATCTTAACAACCAGGTAACTAGGATACAGTCTCCTAGATACTATCTTAACAACCAGGTAACTAGGATACAGTCTCCTAGATACTATCTTAACAACCAGGTAACTAGGATACAGTCTCCTAGATACTATCTTAACAACCAGGTAACTAGGATACAGTCTCCTAGATACTATCTTAACAAACAGGTAACTAAGATACAGTCTCCTAGATACTATCTTAACAACCAGGTAACTAGGATACAGTCTTCTAGATACTATCTTAACAACCAGGTAACTAGGATACAGTCTCCTAGATACTATCTTAGCAACCAGGTAACTAGGATACAGTCTCTTAACCTGAAAAAAGTTTATATTTTCATCTTGAATGAATAAAAATTACCTAAATCTACTTAATCAATAATGACATCTTAATTCTAACATTGTTACTAGTTGGTGCACTCGAAATACAAGCGTGGAGATATTGACAGAGTTCTGAACAAGTTAAATGTTAACAATCTCAATGTTCTTCAAGGTACGCTTATCTTATCTTATCTTATATTATGAGGATTCGTTGCGACGCAACAAGGGCATCGAATGAGTCGACCACCTTTGTTATTTTACTTCGGCATTACCTGCATTACAATGTAAACCAGCACTTTCAAGGAAGAGCTTTACAAGAAGCCGAAGGATCGTTCCTAAGGCCAGCGACGGTTAAGGCACTATGCCACACTTTCTTCGCCCGAGGCTTCGCTGTGTTGATCAAGCACAGCTCCTCATTTAACCCTCACACCCGATTTCTCGAGCATTCGGCTGAGTGAACCGTGGGGCTACATAGACCACTCGGGATCCTTAGCAGAGCGTCAACGACGCTCACCCCACGACTAGGCAGGCAGTGGGATTCGAACTCGCAACCTCACGATTACAAAGCCGATGATTAACCAACTGCGCTACCTGGCCGCTGGAATGTTTTACTATTCAAATTAGTATTGAGATAATGAACAAAGTAGCTGATATCACTTGATTAGATAATTAATTTAATCACTATAATTATCGCAGGTGGAGCAGGTTTTGATACTATGTTGTGTGAGTTTCCTTCCCTGGACCAATACGACACAACATTCAAAACTAAATACCATTCTTCCAGCATTCCATCCTCCTGGATCCAATAGTTAGTGGGGTGTGGGGTGTGGGGCGTGGGGTGCCTAATAATGACTTAATTATCCAGGAGAAAGAACTGATTGTGCGATTATGTTAAATACTATTAGATACGTGAGGGCACTCCGAATAGAATTGCTCGCCTAATACGGGTTTTGACTCAGCGGGTAAATACTCCTACCCCTTTTTAACTGCGGCAGTGAAATCCTGGCTGAAGGCCGGGTTACACTAGTAATTATTTATAATAATATAATATAATTATATGATATATAATTATAGTAACCATTCAGTTGGCAGTCTGAAGATCACAAGACTGAGAGTCTCTCAATACCAGATAAAAACGAGTTTATCCCATCTGACTTCACAATACTCCCTTTATCTAAACTTCCTCAACCTTCCATTATTCTTGATGAGGACGGTGAGATGAAATCAGTATTTTCTACTTTCACTTCTTCCTCACTTCTTTCACTTCTCTTTTTCACTTCCGTACTTCATGAACCTTTTCTCTGACTGTTTTTATTGCAGGTTTTAAAGCGTATTGGAAACAGGACTCGTCGCTACCTAAATCCTACGTCAATTGCAAGTGTGTAGAAAATTATAGAAACATTTGAAGCTTAATGATAATTAATGATAATTAATGATAATTATGTTGTAAAAATGTGAAAGGGGTCTATAATTCAGTGTGCAAAAGTCTAGGCTTTTTAGCAACTGCTACCTAAGAAATTTATTTTCTGTATACACTAAACAACTATATTCAAATATCGGCTCTGAGAAAAATAATCGTCTCTCATCGTGTTCCTTTATTTTAATATCTTCACACACAGTACCCTGTCACTTGTTTTTTTCTCGTTTGAGGAGACTCTGAGTTTTAATATCGCACTTTATTTAATATCGCACTTTATTTAATATCGCACCACTACGTCGTACACTCTACAGAATATAAAATTGTATTTTAAATAGAGGATTTTACTGCACCTCATAGTAGCTTACAATACTGGTGAGCTTATTTTACGATGCGGTCCCATTATTCCATATATGGTATAATCATAGTCTGACAATACCGTATGTCAATTTGTTACGCAATCCTCACGCCTTGTGCTATTTATACTGCTTAGATGTTGAGAGGGTGCATAGCGAATAATGAATATTCTAGTTCGAATAATTCACCTTATTATTTATAATATTCGGTGGATTGTGGTAATAATTTCGCGACTTTTTCAAGAAATTTATAGATAACAAAACTGTTAGTTATATAAAGTAATATTTATAGTTATAACTTTATACATATTATAACTTATGTTATAACTAACGGACCAACTTACTACAGTCAATAACTATGTATCGTGAATAACTACTACTAATTAACTAACCAACTAACTAACTAACTAACTAACTATACTGCCACTAATTAACTACTAATTAACTAACTGTTAACCAATATAACATGTAATTCACTTCAGGTTTTTTATACCAGATTTCTCTAAAGACCCACGACTGGTAGCTATACTCCGTCTGTATTTAGGTTAGTTAATTCAGAACTTGTTTTGCTCCTAACTGCAAAAATTGTGCTTTTAACAGCAAATATTGTGCTTTTAACAGCAAATATTGTGCCTTTAACTACAGCAATTGTGCTTTTAACACCAAACATTGTGCTTCTAACTGCCCAAATAGCTACTTCTATTAATCGCAGAACTGGTGAGTGAATCACTGGATACAGTTACCTACGCTGCCAGCACTGCAGAATACAGATACAGCTTGTCTCCTGTCAGTGAGGGATTCAAACTCAGGGTCGAGGGTAAATAGTCTGTGTGTCTGGTATGTCTTTCTGTGTGTCTGGTATGTTGTCTGGTATTTCCTTTCTGTATGTCTGGTATGTCGTCTGGTATGTCGTTTCTGTGCGTCTGGTATGTTGTCTGGTATGTCTTTCTGTGTGTCTGGTATGTTGTCTGGTATGTCTTTCTGTGTGTCTGGTATGTTGTCTGGTATTTCCTTTCTGTGTGTCTGGTATGTTGTCTGGTATGTCTTTCTGTGTGTCTGGTATGTCGTCTGGTATGTCCTTTCTGTGTGTCTGGTATGTCGTCTGGTATGTCTTTCTGTGTGTCTGGTATATTGTGTGGTAAATAGTTTGTGTGTCGGGTATGTCGTTTCTGTATGTCTGTCTTTCACTTATTCGCTATTTAATTCGCTAGTGTAATACAGTCTCTACAATAGATCATGAATATATCAAGTTATTGTTCCCCTTTATCATGAGATCCTCTATGTTATTATCATATCTGGTATGTATAATCTGCTATTTAAGTTCCCCTTAATGAGACCGCTATGTTGTTATCTGAACATTCCCAGGATTCTCTGATACAGATACATTCTACAAATTCCTAAAGTTCGTGGTCTCTGCACTCAGAGACCCCCCAGCTATCACTGAGATGAGGTAGAGATCCCATTTATGTATAAAAACTAGCTGAAAATTAATAAATAAATCACTTAATTAATTAGTTGTTTAAAATTAATCTATAAAAAGTAAAACTATTTCAGGTTCAAGTACCAGGTACAGGAGATGGTGTACGATCAGCTTAATAAGATTTACAAGGATCAGCCCTTCAGACAAGGGTTCTATCTGGCTAGGTACTGTAATATTGTTAATTAATTAATTAATTAATTAGTTAATTAATTAATTAATTAATTAATTAATTAATTAATTAATCAATTAAATAATTAATGTAATATTGCACGTGATTCATTAATATATTACGTCATGTAGAATAGGTAATATTATTTATTGATACATTAATTCGATGATTGCACCCATAATAAAATAGTATAATTTCAGATTGTTTTATCAAAGTTACTCTTATGATAACAGTCTTATTAATTCGCACATCCTCAAACTCAAACAACAACAAGGTCAGTTCTACAAATTTACTAGTTAACTACTACTAATTAACTAACTAACTAACTATACTGCCAGTATACAGCTATACTATACTATACTATACTTCAGGTTTTTTATACCAGATTTCTCTAAAGACGCACGACTGGTTCTACAAATTTACCTGAACTTTTTCTCATTTATTCACCGTTCTAAATAGGAATAATTTACCTTACTAAAATCTTTAATTAGGAATAATGTGTATGAAACATTGTTAGATATTACATCAACAAATCGTTCAAAAACTTAAACTTTTGGTTGTGCAGTTCAGTAAAATCTGGTTTAACTCCACTACAAATTAATAAGTATTTATTTTAACAGATTTTAAATAATTAAAAATTAATTAATATTTCCAACACCTCTGCAGTTCTGGAAGGAGGGAGGGAGCTGTTAAAGAAGCTAGCAGTGAAGTGCTTCGTGTTTGGTAATGTTGATGTTAGGGAGGCGCTGAACTACGCTCAGTTTATCCGGGATGAGTTCTTATCTCATGTTATGAGTAAGTTATAAGTTATATAAGCTACATGTTATGAGTAAGCTACTATAAGTAATAAGTTCAATAAATCAACGAAAGTTATTTTTAACTATTAGCAATCATTGTTTTATGACTGGTCCACTTCATTAAAAAATTTCATTATTTTAGAGATTCTAGCAACGGCTTTAGCATACGTTTTGAAAACGATTTCAAAACAGGGGCGGTATTTTGAAGCCTAGTGGCGGCATTGGGCGTCACTAGTGGCGGCATAAGGCGGCACTAGTGGCGGCATTAGTGGCGACATTAAGGGGCACTAGTGGCGGCATTGAGGGGCACTAGTGGCGGCATTGAGGGGCACTAGTGGAGGCATTAGGCGGCACTAGTGGCGGCATTAGTGGCGACATTGAGGGGCGCTAGTGGCGGCATTGAGGGGCACTAGTGGCGGCATTGAGCGGCACTAGTGGCGGCATTGAGGGGCACTAGTGGCGGCATTGGGCGGCACACGCAATCAGCGGGAGAACTTAAGTACTCCACTGACCGTTCAATCAGTTATTTTGGTAGTCTGGTCCTGGTAGATCGCCTGCCCTCTCTTATTTGACCAAATTGGGGCATTTGGTGTGATAATGTGTGATAATGTGTGTGATAATGACGGTTACAAACGAGCTGACAGCAGAATCAGGTCGCCGCTCAACTGCTACCATTACTGTCCAATATCTCGACTAACTAACTACTATTTCAGAGTCTAGCTACTCGTATCGCGGTACAGTAGTTGTATTGTAGAAACTAACTAACTACTATTTCAGAGTCTAGCTACTCGTATCGTGGTACAGTAGTTGTATTGTAGAAACTAACTAACTACTATTTCAGAGTCTAGTTACTCGTATCGTGGTACAGTAGTTGTATTGTAGAAACTAACTAACTACTATTTCAGAGTCTAGTTACTCGTATCGTGGTACAGTAGTTGTATTGTAGAAACTAACTAACTACTATTTCAGAGTCTAGCTACTCGTATCGCGGTACAGTAGTTGTATTGTAGAAACTAACTAACTACTATTTCAGAGTCTAGTTACTCGTATCGTGGTACAGTAGTTGTATTGTAGAAACTAACTAACTACTATTTCAGAGTCTAGTTACTCGTATCGCGGTACAGTAGTTGTATTGTAGAAACTAACTAACTACTATTTCAGAGTCTAGCTACTCGTATCGTGGTACAGTAGTTGTATTGTAGAAACTAACTAACTACTATTTCAGAGTCTAGCTACTCGTATCGTGGTACAGTAGTTGTATTGTAGAAACTAACTAACTACTATTTCAGAGTCTAGTTACTCGTATCGTGGTACAGTAGTTGTATTGTAGAAACTAACTAACTACTATTTCAGAGTCTAGTTACTCGTATCGCGGTACAGTAGTTGTATTGTAGAAACTAACTAACTACTATTTCAGAGTCTAGCTACTCGTATCGTGGTACAGTAGTTGTATTGTAGAAACTAACTAACTACTATTTCAGAGTCTAGCTACTCGTATCGTGGTACAGTAGTTGTATTGTAGAAACTAACTAACTACTATTTCAGAGTCTAGTTACTCGTATCGCGGTACAGTAGTTGTATTGTAGAAACTAACTAACTACTATTTCAGAGTCTAGTTACTCGTATCGCGGTACAGTAGTTGTATTGCCTCCTGGTAGGTGGATATGGCAGGTTCCTGTACTTAACCCAACAGAAACTAATAACTGTATCTTCGTCATCAACCAGGTAAGTTGCCCTTAATTAGGTAATAGTTAATTAGGTAATAGTTAGTTAGGTAATAGTTAATTAGGTAATAGTTAATTAGGTAATAGTTAATTAGGTAATAGTTAATTAGGTAATAGTTAATTAGGCTCTAACAATGTCCTCAGTGTAATCTTACACACATTCTCGGACATTGTCACAGTGTTCAGTTAATGAGTAATTAGAAGTTTAATATCCTGTGTCGGATTGTTGTGGCGTATAGTACAGTATACTGTACTCTACTGTACTCTACTGTACTCTACTGTACTCTACTTTACTCTAATGTACTCTACTATACTCTACTTTACTATACTGTACTCTACTATACTCTACTGTACTCTACTGTACTCTACTGTACTTTACTGTACTCTACTTTACTCTAATGTACTCTACTATACTCTACTGTACTCTACTGTACTCTACTTTACTGCACTGTACTCTACTGTACTGTAGTTTGTATGTAATCATCAGATAACAGCAAGAACAGTCAGTGGCCCTAGTTTGAGGAAGAACATTCTCCTGACTGTACTAGCTACAATTATGAAGGTTAGACCTTTTCTAACTCTCTCCCTCCTTCTTCTCAGTGGCGTAACGTACCTGCGTGCCCCCCCCCCCCCGCAATTTTTTTTGCCGCCCCCAAAAATTTGTATTGGTTCTTTATTTGGATTTTGGCCTCCTTTTTACCGCCCACTTTTTAAGCAAAAAAGACCCCAAATATTTTGTTCACGTCGACCGAACGTTAAATTAGTCAGGATAATACACAAATTGGGCGTTTTTGCTTTAAAAAATACCTGAAATTCGGGTATAGCGGGGGTAGCAGAGGCGGTCGTTTCGCCACTGCTCCTTCTCCCCTTGTCTTGGGATTTGTCACTGGGCCACAATTTCACAATAATTTTTATTTGTTCTCCCAACTTTCCCCACACAATTTGAGAAGTTTGAAATCTGTAATTTAATCGTTATCAAGCTGATGCCAGTTGCATAACTGACTCATGAAATGTGTAATAATTGTGGCAATATCGCAGGCACCACTAAAATCGTACGTTTGCGTAACGCGCGCTACATTTATCCAATGAAAAGTTAAAATGAAACCGTCCACTTCGCCAATTACGCGCGCTCCATTTAACTGGCACTTCAAATTGTGTAAGAGTTCAAACCCCTGCCCATAATTGGGATAATTACGATGTTTATGGTACCGCCGACCGCTCTTATTATTCCAATCAGCTAATTACGAAGCTTCAAATCACAGGATCCTGCGTACGCGACACTGAGGACACAAGAGCAGCTCGGGTACACTGTGTTCACGGGGACACTCAAGATGTTGAGTGTTGATTACTTTTATCTTTTACTACAGGGTACGAAAAGCTTTATAATATTTAACTTTAAAAAGAGTAGGTTTTGAATTGTGTGGCTGGATAGTATCCTCAGGAATCAGGATACCTCCACATTTAACTTAACACTCGTGTACCTGACTACAATTGTAGTCTAATTGTAGTCACAACTGTAGCCTACAACATTACTTGTTCAGGTAGCCACTACACCCCTGAAGTAATGATGAAGCGAGTGGTGGAGTTCATGCACTCTTATAAAGACACCCTGGTAGAACTCGTAGCTAACGGAACTGCTGAACACCCGAGGTTCGTAAGAATTAGAATAAGAACTAAAATCAAATTTACACTACGATACAAATAGTAAACAATTTAAAGACGCTTCAATCTGCTGCGCAGGACATTTAAATCAGTCAAAAACTGTTAATAGAGGTACGTATTATGTTTCTAACGAGGAACCCTGATGCGGGACAGGGATATATGGAGGGCCGAGGGGGTTATCTGGCGTAGATAAGACTAAGTTCTGACCTAGTGGTACTTTTTAATTGTCAACTGTCAAGTCTACAAAACATATTATAAAGATAACGAGAACATTAAGTGTTCATTTAAAAAAATCATTTATAACTATGTCATTGTGACATCTGCAGATCGATCTTTAAAACACATGTGATCCTCCGAATCCTTTAATAAATACCTATTCAAATTCTTTAAATACCCAAACAAATAAACCTTGTTTGTATTTTCAGCGGAGAAGAATGGTTCTCAACTACCAAACAGGAAGCCATCAACCTTTTACTGTCCAGACCAGAATCTCAGGTTTCTTGCTGTTAATCTGCATTCTTGTTCTGTTACTCTGCTGCTCTGCACATATAATGTTTCTCTGCTACAAAATAGCATCAGGCTGATTTTGTACCTGTAGTCTTATGTTCACTTCCTTAACCATTGTGATCTTAACGCTGCATCGAGGCGAAAAGTCCTAGACAAGATCCAGTCACTCATATCAAATCCAATCAAACCGTCTGCGACATCTTATCCTGTTCACAATGTCATCCCTGGAGCAAACGTCCTCAAATTCATCAGCAACAACAGTGAAATCATTGAACTTATCACAAACGAAAGTCAAGTCCACCTCACGAGAGTCGTTGCTAGGTTTGCCACTACGTGTTTTAACAACCGCAAGAAATTTGTTGACTCTCTGGCCAGTACATGAACAGTGAACACTGAAAATCACTGTACCCGCTTTTGTTTCTTTTCGCGCAACGACGAGTGCAAACTGCAAAGTGACCTGGCTCAAGCATTACAGCATTACCAAGGCGACTGAAAACAAAATATTCTATGTCAAATCTTTATTTTTCACTTTAGTTAAGTTATATTAATATAATAAATTCAAATCTTATGATATTGTTATTATCTTAACAGTTACTATTGTAGCTCAAGATTTTAAATTTGTATTCCTTGTATTCCTTGTATTCCTTGTATTCCTTGTATTCCTTGTATGTTATTATCTGATAAATTTCAATGAGCTGTATTTGTACTGCTGTGTTTTCTCATAGGTTTGATGTTTCATTTCTGAACAGCTTTTGCAATTGCTGGAGCCAATCTTTAAAGCTGTTTCTTCTCTCTTTCCCTCTTAGAAATATATGTAAGTTGTATCTTTTAGTTCAATTCCCGTAAATTTTTTTATTTTATAAGTTTTTCCAATGTATTGCCGAAGCTCTAGATATTACCATTTCACTAGATTATCACCATAAACTGCTCCTTCACAAAACCTTCTCGGATAGTGTTAGCACAGTACTGCTCCTTCACAAAACCTTCTCGGATAGTGCTAGCACTAAGCACAGTACTGCTCCTTCACAAAACACTCCCACAGGTTGGACTCGCGGAGTATTCCTCAGACACATCGCAATCCAACTGGCCCTTCTTCAACAGGAGGGAGTATATAATAACAGCGGGGAAGGGAATCAGAAAAGAGGATCTCGTCGAGTTCTACCACAATTACATCATAGGTTTTCTTATTACTTTCAACCAAATTTTATTTTTTCTCCATTAATAAACCTGGTATCGCTGATGTCAACTATTGACCCCCTGACAATTGACCCCCTGACAATTGACCCCTGACAATTGACCCCCTGACAATTGTCTCAATTCTCATTTTTCCCTTTAACCCTGTTAATTGTTTGGAGAATGTATCAACGTTATTTTGTTACATAAACTTTAATGACTAAGTCACTAAGCCTTTTCTAATTAAGGTGACAGAAGCATCTGGTGACATTTGTTAATTTCCTTTCCAGTGTTCACTACTTTGGTCGCTACTTCGGTCAATACTTGGCATGTCGTCAAGATGTATTCAGTATTATAGTTCACATTTCACTGTAAATATAACGGCGTTATAGTTCACATGTAACTTCGATACATTAAATTTAAATTTAAATATATATATTATTTAGGAGACGCTAGACAGCTAATAGTACAACTGCACGGAGCCGGGTATCCAACACATCAAAACACTAGTGTACCTCACAAGCAGATCCTAGACAAGGAGTCCATTCAGAAACTGAAGGAGAATCTGTTCCCTGTTAATACCGAGTTTGTTTGGTGAAATTATTCATTAATTCATTAATTAGCTATTGATTATAAATATTTTAAAATTTATTTTCAAATGGCAAGATGTAAGTTATTGTTAGTGAGACAAACAGAAGATTTTATTTCTTTCGTAAAATTTTTGGACAGTTTTATGGAGAGATTATATTTGATATTTGATTATTTCAAAATAATTTAATTATTTTAATTATTTAATTTAATTATTTTAAAATATTTATCACAAATTGTACCGATGCTATTAATTTATTTCGCTTTATATTTCGCTATCTAAGATTTAAGTCGTATTGAAATTGAGCTGACAATTTCTGTCATAGTTGATTTTCACAAGATACAATTAATATTTCGCCATAAACAAACGCGTAAATGCGCCGTTATATTGTTTATATTTTGTTCAATAACAACTGTGAACTACCAGTTTTATATTTGTTATTTAATGTAATCATCAAATTTCATTTAACATGTTGTTAATTAGATTTTGTTTGCTTTGTTCACTTTCATAGTAAAAATAGGTCCCAGTTAGCGATGTCTAGCGATTAGACTTTCGAAAAAGAACCTACAATTCCCATAATGTGGATGTAGTGTCAACTCAATCACCTGATCACACGTAATGAATAAAATTGTTATGCTTCATATCTCGATCATCTGAAAAGCTGGAGCTTCCGTCAAATAATTATATAGGTTCCTTCGAAAAAAATATACATCGTCTTAATTTTACTTGACGGATTTGTCGAATGAGTGATGATCGCAAGTCATATATCAAAAAGGATTCTTTAAATTGGGCACTCGGCAATAAGCTCATAAGTTTGCACACTAAATCACCAATAGTAATATTATAAAATATAATAACTTATATATAAGCCACATAATCTGTATAATCTCATGCATAGTGTGATTCAATTAACAGCCCTTCTAGAATACTTCTACAAGCTCCGAAGTGAAAACGCTGTGAGGGCACATGATTTCGCCAACTTTTGCTTTTGTGTCTCAACTTCCTTGCTTGTAGTTGATGTATCACGAGTAGTGAGTATGAATATGACTGAATTGCTAACCGCTACAAACATAGCTTCCTTGTGAATCGGTTTGCTTTGATACTTGATGCACACTGCACAGGCTTGATTTGGTTTGTTAGGTTTTATTTTTAAATGCCCCCACGTAATTTGATATTTTGTATGTTATCAAAGTATCAAACTTACGATGATTCATGATGAGATGATAATATGAGCTGCTCCGTAAATTCATAATTCCTCACATTCCCTACACAATCCATTTCAGTGTGTTTACTGTTTACATTTTGTGCATGTCATGTTTCGTGTTTTTAGTAACTATTTTGATTATAAATTCAATTCCACGAATTTTCCCCTGTCTTACGCGGTAAACAGTTTGAGTTATGCTCATTATAAAGTGAGGATATAGTAGTTTTTAGTTAAATCATGGTTAAAATGCATAATAATATGTGGCATAGTCTGTGACAATAATTTTTCAAATTTGTACGTCAAATTTATACATTCTGTCTACATTTGACTGTACATTTCACATCCTATCCTGAAGCTCAATTGTTCATTGCCTACGTTCCATAAAAACTTATATTGCTTGACACACCTAGCTGCGGCCATATAAATTTTATAAAATAATATACATATTAATTATTACATGATCACTAATATTTGTATAGTCACGTTGCGACCTCAGTCCTCACGTTACGATTTAGCGTCACTTCATGAACTCAACTTTTAATGGTTGGTAGCTTTTCACACAGCACTGGATATACGATTATAAGCAGAAAGTAGCCATCCTTTTGTAGTACATATTGCAATACTCAGCCTATTACTCTTTAAGGTATAATAGTGGGGGGGGGGGGGGGGGGGGGGGAGGGGGGCAATACTAGTATATTAAAGCTAGCTGAACCGCTTCAACAGAATTCTGACTTCGTAAATATAGTGTTATCTGTGTATTCCTGTGTTTAATTCCTATGCGGTAATTGTCATTTGTAAGTCGGTTTATTTTGTCGTTTCCAATCAATAAGATTGCGGTCCTGCTCATTTTTATTTCATGTAAGTTGTAACTTTATTTGATAGTGCATGAAGCTTGTTTGTCTGTCTGAATGTCACTTTTGATTAAAGTTGTTTCATCTGTACTGCTTATTCAAAAAAAATTAGTGTAATTGAAAACTTTTGTAATTGTAAAATTTTGTAATTTTAAAATTTTGTAATTGTAAAATTTTGTAATTGTAAAATTTTGTAATTGTAAAATTTTGTAATTGTAAAATTTTGTAATTGTAAAATTTTGTAATTGTAAAATTTTGTAATTGTAAAATTTTGTAATTGTAAAATTTTGTAATTGTAAAATTTTGTAATTGTAAAATTTTGTAATTGTAAAATTTTGTAATTGTAAAATTTTGTAATTGTAAAGTTTGTAATTGTAAAATTTTGTAATTGTAAAATTTTGTAATTGCAAACTTTATAATTGTAAAATTTACATATTTTGTTCCTGAGTCAGAAAATGTTTTTTGCTAAACCGTCTGCTTAAAAGTCTGTGGACTGTGATGGTTTCCGTTTGTTATGTTTGGATAGGATTTCGTGACACTTATATCATGCTCGTTCTATTTGACAATTATCCAAATAATAATTGATAGTTCTGCATTTCTTCACATCTATAAATTTACTTAAAAGTAATATGATAATTCATGCATTACTACACTGATATGTACCCGACATTAACAATTAACATAGCATGTATCGTTCTATCATGCTAGCACGCTGGGATAAACTAGAAACATGGCAGAAAATAGGTAATGATATGTAATGATATTGATATCATCTTGTTTAATACTGAAAAGTCTATAGTGATTTCTGATTAAAATGAACTCACAAGTCACAAATTGTTGCATTTTCTCACAATTTATAGTTAAAGCGATTTCTATACTCGTCCTAAAAAATGCCTGTTTATCTGAGCTATCATTTCATTATAAGACCATTCACTAATGGTCCATTAGTAAAATCAATCAACTGCCAATAAGCAAAAACTTAAAACCTACTTCTTCGCTTTGAGCCTTTGCAATTACAATATAAAAATATGTTACACTATTACAATGTATTGCACTACTGATAATACATGTACAAATATTCCTATTTATTCCTAATATGGAAGTGGTTAAACACTGTTTAACTGCTTGAATGAAACTTGAAATACGAATAATAATGCTCGTTTATAACATGCATTATTATATAACGTTTCTATATTTTTGATTTCTGTATTGTTTGAAAGCGTCTTGTTGTGGATATTCTATTACCTGAACGACTTACGTATAATATATAAATCTATATTCTTATATTGACTCACTGCTGAGTGCTCATGGCTCGGTCCACGAAGAAAAAGGGTAAATATATCAAGACAATCATGAATGATCCCTGATCTTTCCAATATGCAAGAAATCATCAACAGACTCGTTACTTTGTTTCAGGTATCATTATCCTCGTGGTTCTGGTAGTTGTTATAGCTGTGGTCCTCGTGGTTTTAGCAGCTGTTGGTATTCTTGGTAGTAAATCCGACTCCTGCCCTGACTGCTGCAAAGACTGTTTGGTGAGGGGTCGTGACGTTAAAATTGTACAAAAAGTGATGACGTAATATATACCATTGACGTGTCAACTGTCACTGAGACCGTCATAACATCGATTACGTTATGTTATAGTGATATTGAATTTAATTTGATGATTATTTGATGAAAATTTCTGATTTTTTTCTGAATATACTCAGTGATACGTGTAGATGTAGAATCTGGTAGAGTGGTGAGGTGGAGTGGTGAGGTATATTTCTAGTAACACGTGACAGTGATTTTGGGGTTTTTAAAGGTCAGATTGGTTCATTTTTGTCACATGTCAAACATATTACCTACCTGAGTACCAGACTCCACATTTATTAGATCACCATTGGCATTAGCTTTTGAGTTTCAATTTATGTTCCAGTCAATGTTTCATATTCGTGTTTCAATCAAAGTCTCATCATCTGAAATATTTCAATTTCAGTTCCTGAGTACAAGTTGGAACTATCAATACCACAACAAAGCAGAAAATGTTTCAGAATACCGAGCTTTCGTTGAGGATTGTGGGAGGGCTATAAAAATACAAATTTCAGAAAACCTTGTAGGGGTAAGCAACAAACTTCGTAAATTACATATACTAGCAGGAACCCGTATAACCCTATATAAAATGGTGTCAAGACTCAAGAGACTAAAATAATTATTACCTATTTAATTCGCGTTTTTGACACCACTTGGGGGTCCAAATTTTGGGCTCTAAAACTCCTATTCCTTGGCCAATTTTTTATTTTTTCATGCTGATTTGAAAAGCATAAAAGCATTTGACCCAGTCAAAAGACGCGTTAAAGTTCATGCCGTGGTGTCAGTAAAATGGCACGGATCCATATATATATAGTCTCGCTTGATACATAGTAAGATTATGATGACATCTATAAACGAAAGAACGCCCAAAGAGGCTCCGCAAAGTGCTGTCCTTATATGAGCATCACGTGTCTCTACATCTCCTTATACATGGGCATCACGTGTCTCAACATCTCCTTATATGGGCATCACGTGTCTCTACATCTCCTTATATGGGCATCACGTGTCTCTACATCTCCTTATATGGGCATCACGTGTCTCTACATCTCCTTATATGGGCATCACGTGTCTCTACATCTCCTTATATGGGCAAAATGCCGGCTTACTCACGCTTCTTAAGAATCCTGATCCGTTCAATATGTCTCATCCTAGTCTATCATCCCTTGCTATTGCTAAGTTCAGTTGGTCAACTTGTCCTCTGCGTAAATTCAAAGGACAAATTTATCAATTCTTTTAATTATCTGTTACTACCGAAAAGTTTTTGAGTAAAAACTTATAAATTAAAAACTATTAAATTTTGAATAACCTCATTAATTTTTGAATAACCCTATTATCAAGTATTATTAATTAATTATGATTATATTATTAAGGTGCTCGATTGGAGACAACACCAACATGAAGCCTATTCTGGCATTGTGGAGGAAGCTGTTACTGACTTTAGTAAAGCTATACCGGGTTTAGATGACATTGTACTGAGTAAGTTGTTGTTTATAATCTGAATTTTACTTCGGACATTCCAACAGCTTGCGTCGTTTTTTTAACATTGTCATGTTACACAAGTGTAGTAACCAGCCAATTTCAGGAAGCTGAAGGATTCAATTGTACATTAGGCCAGTGACGGTTATAAGGTAGCATGTTCCATACTTTATTTGCCTGAGACTTTGCTGCAGTGGGCATTGAGCATAGAAATCAGTATAAATGATACTGTATATAAAAATTCGATTTCGAGAAAACTTCCACATGTGAAGTGTGAACTGGTAATCCCGAGCTTGCGTCGTTTTTATGTCTTTATGATCATCATTTACTCATAATTCTACCCTATCAGTGTCAAATTAAGCGAGTGAAAATTGCTACACGGTGGTTTTCGATGCTTCAGTATCCCCCGCACACTTTAAAACTAAAAAAGACATATATAATAAACGATATTCGGACAACAAAATTCTGTGCTCGCGCTTGGCGCTTATTACACTAACTACTGGATTGATTGCAACAACCAGTACTGAATGTCAGAGAAAGCGAATCATACTAATATTGGTATACCACCGAACATTTATGCGTGAACGAACATCAAAATTAACAATCGAATGCATTAATGATTAGTATTTAATTTAACTACATTATATTTATATCGGACTTTATTTGAATGGAAATTAACATGACCGCTAGAACCTCCAGCGTCTTATTATTGTCCGTTTAATTAAAGTCGGATAAGGTATACCCGTCGTTTATAACTTAAAACTTCCTTCTTCAGGTGTGGAGCTAGACATGACCAAGAAAGATAACGAGACCATGAAAATTGTTTTCGGTGACTCTGGTACGGAGTTTGCTGGATGTGGGAACTATGACGGGGCTTTTTTCAAAACGAAACCCGCTGAAGGGGCTTCACAAAAATTCTTGGTGAGTAATTTAAAAACTTTGAGTGCACATTTTCACTTTCACTTTCACTTTCACTTTCACTTTCACTTTCACTTTCACTTTCACTTTCACTTTCACTTTCACTTTCACTTTCACTTTCACTTTCACTTTCACTTTCACTTTCACTTTCACTTTCACTTTCACTTTCACTTGTGTAATTTAACAACTTTCTGAATCTATAACCTTATAACTTTATAACCATAAGGGGTCGTTTGCATATAACATAATCAGCCGAGGGGGAGGCCGGGGGCTTCCGAATGACTGCGCTAGTTTAATTTTGACATAATAGCTATGTGTGAACCTGATTACGGAGGGGGGGGGGGGGGGGGGGGGGGGGTGGGGGTAAAATTTGTCTAAAAAGTGCAATTACGAAATATTATGTGAACGACCCCTAACAGCATGCAACCCTGGTACTACTAGTACTACTATCTAGCTTGTAGACGATCCTTATAAAAATGATAAATTGAAATTTAATAACACTGTTTAAAGATAAAACTTATACTCAGCAGCTGTACTAGTCATACCAGAAAATAATTTATATTGAAAATAATTGAGATACGATAAAACAAATAAAAACGACCGGTTGAGTCAAAAAATTGTTGAAATAATTTTAGTTGCTACCTCAGTCATTGTCATTGATGTTATCATGATTTTGCATGATTGGAACAATAGTTTGACTCAACCGGTCGTTTCTATTTATACCTAGCTTTGCCGAAATAGTACTGTCGGCAGACAACGCCACAATATGCGATAAAGCACATCATCTTTATCAGATTATGATGAGTAAAGATAACCCGACATACCTTCCGTTTTATCTTTCCCGTGATGAAGATGACAACTCGCTCTGCATGTTTCCTCATTCTATAAATGCTGATGGTTCGTATAGTACTTCCTAATATATAATATGTTTCTCTTTCTTCTGTTTCTCTTTCTCTTTCCTAATGTTTCTCTTTCCTAATGTTTCTCACAACCGTGCCAGTAATGACAACGTGTTTATTTTAGAACATACATATTACATAGATATTTGAAGTTTTATCCAAATTTGACAAAAATGGCGTAGTTTTTAGCCTGAAAGTTATATGCCCATATTAATGTTTGAATCCATGCACATTGCACCTGACTGATAGCTTGCAGTTGCAGCCTTTAAATTGGTTAGACTTTAATATTTTCGTACGATCGACATCAACTAAAAAAAGGTATAAATAGAATATATAATAGATATATGTGCATTCTAAGTTAAGTACCTTTGTCCATATTTTTGCAAAAGTTACTTTTAAAACTCGCTTTAAAAAAACATAATTTTGGGTACTTTTAATTTTGGGTATAGCTACCTCCTCCACCCACCATACATCTTCTTATATGGGCATCACGTGTCTCTACATCTCCTTATATGGGCATCACGTGTCTCTACATCTCCTTATATGGGCATCACGTGTCTCTACATCTCCTTATATGGGCATCACGTGTCTCTGCATCTCCTTATATGGGCATCACGTGTCTCTATAGTGTACCTCTCAGTCTCACGCGTATTCCCATAATTGCAGGTTTGACATGGGAGATAACAGTTACAGAAACCTCAACCGAGTGGTTAATGATTGATAATTCTGATAACAACCCTTACGAACCTGGTTGTGACGAATACCAGTCATGTTTGAACGCTGTGGACTTCTTTGCGTACAGCGGAGACTCTGTGACACACGCCTTGGAGAAGTGCTTGGGGAAGTGGAAGGAGTTTTATCCGTCCTCTGAGGTCACTTGGACTGATAACTTAATCGTCGGGAGGTTTCTAAGTTTTTTTAATTAGCGAATAATTAATATAATAATAATATAATAAATAATAATTAATCAGATAGTATTTAATACCTGTTGATTGAAAATATCTCGTAAGGGGACTGACTAATTTATTACATACATCATAGTTAATAAAAAAAATAAAAACCTCGATGGGCACTCTTGAAAGACACAACTTTTAGAAAAACTACAATAAAAATTACACACAGATAAATTACAGCCACAGTGCACATTGTTTTGCTTTTTTAGATTATTCTGCAATTCAGCACGGCACGACATAATTACTGCTGATAAACAAATAAAATAAAGTCAAATTTTATTTATAAAAGTAGTCTATAGATCACCTTATCGTTAAATATTTGAGTCTAATACAAAAAGCTATTGCGGTGATGATGCCAGTTTCTTTTTTTTAGTTTTTGAAATTTTGAAAATTAATTTCCTCTCTTTATTCATTAATTGATTATTCAGTTTGACAACGGGACAAATAAAGGAAGATAAAGACAGAGGGGATAGTATTGCTACCCACTACATCCTATCTCCTGATGTAGTCATCTGGGATAGTAAGCTAAAAAATCTTCTTAATTAATATTTTTGTAACACATTTAATAATTTAATTCTTTTAATGGATCATTTATTAGTTATTACGCATTAAATCCGTTTTACTCTGAAGTGGTGGCATGTCAAAAGACAGCGATGTTTATTTATTTTGTGATTTTGATACCACTAGGGGTTCGATTTTAGGAACGTAAATTAGTTATTCCCTGGCCAATTTCCTATTTTCTTCTATATATACTTATATGGCATATGCATGTATACAAGTAAACATGTATACATGTATACATGTATACACTATACATATATACATGTAATGTATGGTTACGCTTTATATCCAGCACAATACTACTTTAATAGGTATTCTTGAAAAAATACTGGAGATAACAAACGCCAGCACCTTAAACAACTACAGCAATGTTATCCTCCCCTTCACAACTACACCAACAATATCAAATGGTACGTGATTTATTTAAATCCAACATATGAGGCTATCAGTTTCAAATACACTGCAAGATCAACTAATATCGATAAGGAAAAGTTTAAAGTTTCAAAATAATTCATTTTCTACTGAATTTAGTAGAGACACGTGATGCCCATATAAGGAGATGTAGAGACACGTGATGCCCATATAAGGAGATGTAGAGACATTTGATGCTATTTTCTACTGGATTGCTGATGTTTGGTCTGATGCTGGATCTGAACAGCAAAAATCTACTTATTCATTGGGCAGTGATAAACATAATGTTGTTTTCAATTTAAAAAATAATAATTTTCATTCTCAGATCGTGCTGCTGTGGATATGGAGGAACAAGGATACTACCTCTCAGAGGGCCATTATGTCATCGACTTTGAAAACGTTAAAATACGGTCGGGATTACCATTTGTAAAGATTGGACCCGGGATCGGACAAGAAAACTTAATTGGGTACGATGGATATAGTGGAATGTTGCTAAGTGGATTCCCCTACTTCCCTGAAGGTAAAGGTTGTGTCAAATTGTTCATACCTTTATAATGTGTATTACTATATTTCAAAGCCTCCAGATATTTGTGTATGTGATACATGATACAAAGCATTAACTACTCTAATAGCAGAGCTCTGCTAGAGTAAACGATTCTTCACTGAAGATTAATATTCTTAATTAGTTCTCCACGCTAACGTCTCTCTGACCCCCTGCAAATCAAATCAATTCAAATAATATTGACAGAAACATCATCACACGTCAACATAAATATTTCTACAAAAATAAAAAAATTTAAATTAAATTCTCGGATCAAAGACCCAGTAAAAGTCTACCCAATATTCCCTTGATCCTGGCTTGAACGTAATTAGGCGCAGCATTTAAGCATTACCAACATCCGCATTTTACTGAATGTGTGAATTTATGAAGGAGCACATGTTTGCCTTTGTCCCATCTACCCTAAATTCCCACCACTTCCAACCATCTTTACTTTTTTGGAAAAAATGGTTGATGGAAAAAATCTACCTAATTATACTTTCCAGACGAGAGCTGTCCCCAATATTTCAAGTGTGCTGGCGTGCAGTTCCAGGAGGCAACTAGCATGTGTATTGGAACTGACTTTGGAAAAATGACAGAGTAAGACAACGTCATTAAACTCATTAATAGTCCTTCGCCCCCCAGTTAATATCGCCGAGGAATACATAATTAATATAATTTTTTTAGCTTTTATTAGTTTTCATAACATTGTGTGTACCTGTTCGGGCTGTTGAGCCAGCTTGTTGAAGAAACCCCTTAAATATTCCCCCTACATACAGGGAAACAAGTAAACAATTTGAGAAAAACAATTTATACTATGAGTCAGCGAGAAAGGTCTTGCAACAATCTGATGTGAAAGATATTATAGAAACTGTTGCCTCGCCTGGAACAACTCATTTTCACAGGTTACCTTACATTTTAACATATTATTAAAATGGTACGAAAGTCCCCAAATTGATATGCTAGATTTATACTACTTATTACCTTATCATTCAGTCTGAAAGAAAAAATACATTTATCCAGATTTCAAACTAAACCACGTGCAAACGTTATTCAGGGCTGATTTGGAACTAACAGAGGCAGGTTTAAAAACTTGTTACCACAACATACTGAACCTGAGAAGGCTGGGTGTAGCTGCGGTAACCTGTAACATATGTGCTGGTGTGGTTCCCTCCACTGACATACAAAAGTCTCTTTGCTTCCGGTTAGTGTTTAGCTAGAAAAATACAGGGGGTGGGGGGGTGGTCAGTACATATTCATTGGGGCTAATTTCTCAGTCAATGAGTGCCAAATCGAGATAGTGAACATTTGTTGACAAATATTACTTTAAAGATGGAGCCAGCTGGTGTTGCTGATGCCTTATATCATCATCTCGAGTGAAGAAACTGATCTAACAGGTCTGTTTTCGAGAAAAATGCATTATATTAAACATTGTCGCGTTACTTTTATTACAGGTTTAAAAACTGGTGGATTTGTGTAATGTTATTGAGTCTCATGATTTGATGTTTCTTTCATTGAAATTTCTGATTGTTTCTGAATAGACTCAGTGAACAGTTTAAAAACTGTTCTGATTTCCGATGATTATAATTTGATGATCTATTTTAATTCATCATACTTCAGATGCACTAGCTGGTGATGATGGATTCACGAAGTTGAAGGAAATTCTTGCTTTGAGGAAACAACTGAATTACTACCTAGCAAAACCCGGATCTGCAATTCTATGGGAGGATAATAATATTGTGGCTATTGGTTAGTTTCAGACAACAATTAGTTAAGTTTAATTTAGTTTAGCTACATATTTGGCGGTGAGGAACTTTGCAATCATGTCCATGGAAAACGATTATATTATAATATCAGAGATAACGGCCCGAAATCTAAGTATTCATGATAATTATAATAATTTATGTATCTTAATTCGCAGCGAATTTGGAACTTAAAAACGTTATCAAATAAAAATATCCTTGTGTTTGAAGTATTACATCAACCATCAGGAGATAAGTTGTGCATGGTTGTTAACTTGGAGGGCTCCTCTGAAGTAGATGTAAAGTTCCCGGAGGGGGAATGGCTAGCTCCTGATCCTACTGCTGAGACTGAGGGCACATATCTTAAATATCGTAGTGAGTCAATGAAACAAGAAATTTTATATGAAACAAGACATTTTATTATATTTTACGTAATCAACAAATTTATAATAATGAAAATATAATGCTCATTTGGTGTATGAATTTCTGTCCTTGACTGCTAATTGGGCTGTGGAAAGACAGGCAACTGATGGGGCAAGGAATGTGCGGTCCTGAAAGCTTTTGCACACACCGAAACGCTAGTCTGGATTCCAAATGAGATTTTGGAGACAAGGCTCTTATCTGGAGCAGCTTACAATTGTTGGGAGAGATAAAGGAGTCAAACATTGTCTGACTTAAATGTTGAATATTTGACCTGGAGCTCTGAGTTAAAATTTTTTAGAGTTGACTTTGAGTTTGAGGAGGAACAATTTGAAGTTTGAAACTTGTTTTTCAGGTGGTGATTCACCCACAACATTGACGTTCGAAGAAGACATTACAAAAGTTATCTTTTACAAGCTGGACAACATCTTCTTCTTAAAAGATAAGGGTAAGTTAAGTAGATATTTTAAGAGCTTTTTTGTCTCAACTGGTGTCTGACTGAACAACCTGTCAACTTTTGTTCTGTCTCAACTGGTATCTGACTGAACAACCTGTCAACTTTTGTTCTGTCTCAACTGGTATCTGACTGAACAACCTGTCAACTTTTGTTCTGTCTCAACTGGTGTCTGACTGAACAACCTGTTAACTTCCCCAGATGACAACATTGAGGTGAAGATATACCAACCAAAAGATTATTACTACGGTAGCGATATCACATCTACATTTACCTACGACGGACATGAGACTGTCATCAAGCTAGATATAGCAAATGAGATTGTCAGTTTCAAGTACACTGCAGCAGTAGCAACAATCGATAAGGACAAGTTTAAAGTTTCTAAAATAACGATTTTCTACTGGATTAAGGATGCTGGATCTGATGACGACAATGGCTCTGGGAATGAACAGACAAAGGCTACTTACTCATTAGGCAATGATAAGTTTAATGTTGTTTTCAATTTTGGTGAGAACCTCAAAACCATATTTGAAGACTGGAACGTTTCTTTAGCAGGAGGCCCTTCTGAGTCTTGATTAATAAACAAAAGTTAACAAAATCAGTAATGTTTTGATATTTTTAACACCGCATCAATTTATTCAGATACAAAAATGTTTTAAGGTTATGAATCAGCCGAAGATACGAGTGAATATTTATGATTTGTTGTCTTGTTGTTGTTGATGTCATTTAGATTTTAAAAGTTTAAGATGTTTTGTAGTTTATACCGTTGTATTAATCTTTATTGCATACAAAAATATGAATTATCACTTTAATCAGTTACCAAATAGTCAATCATGAGTCAATCGTAGACAATGTTTAAACCATTTAATTGCAATAAGTGTTAATCAATCAAATAAGGTGACCAGTCAGTCAGTTGATTCTCGGACTAATTTCCAGTATTTTTAGTTATTTGTAGCTCACTTTCAACTATGATCGCTACGTTTTAGTTAATAAAGTCAACACGTGTACTCTGTTCACTGTTGTTTTCTGCCGCAACATGACCTAAACTTTTCGTAAACAGTAGAGTTTTGGAACATCTTTGTGCCAGACATACTCCTGGGATAAAATCCAGCTTATTATAAACTACATACTATGTAACTAATTATTAAATTAGAATTAATCGATAAATTTGTATAATATTTAAACATACTATGTGATGAGTCAGGCATCTCTTTTAACTAAAGTTGTTAATTGATACATGTTCTCAAAAACATCTACGTACTCGGAAGGACCGATTCAATTAAAAAATTCGATAGATTCAATTAAAAAATAATTGTTTTATTAAAAAACAACCTGATGGCTGAAAAGTAAACGTTCATGCAGCAAATCCCAAGTGGAAGCCCCAGTAAAGTAGAGGACATCAGCTTGGGGATCTCATGTCCCAACAGCACCACAATATCACCGAAACCAATAGTCGTAAACCTTATCGTCTGAGGAAATTGAGTGAAATTCTGTCAGAAATTAATAACGTCGGTTGTCACTACGATTAACACCATGATCCAAAAAGCTTATACGGTATGAGGCCAGGAATAACAAAATGGTAAAATAGTAATATATTTTATAGTAATAGTAATAATATATATATAATATCTGTATCTCGTTGGTAGGGTGTTATACTACCAACGTCCAACAGTCTCTGTATATACGTAATAATATATACTGTACATAATATTAATAAAATTTGACTTTATTTACTTGCTTACCTGCCAATAGAACATTTGCATTAGTGATCTCTTCATGTGGGGCTCCTCCCAGTCCCTCTCGGAAGGGTATACTACCCACAAGTGTACCGCTGTAAACGATACACTGTAGTCATTGTAGTCATTGTAATCATTGTAGTCGTTGTCATCATTGTAATCATTGTAATCAATGTAATTGAATTATTGTTATTGTATCAAATCATAACTTCCATCAATAAAATCGGGTGTTGGGAATCATTTTAAGTAAGTTTTCTCACCGATGTAAATAAAAAGACAAATTGTGGCGAACAGAGATCGCATGAGAGCTATTCGGATTTGAGATTTTACCATCCAATTCCAGCTGCAAGAAAACGTATTTAATGCTACTTGGTGACTTAGAATAGTTAAAATAAAAAAGAAGCAGTGTATTTATACCGCGCTCATACCAAGAATACAAATTGAAAATATGAAATAACTGATGTTGGAACTGCTCTTCTATATAAATATACATATATTTGTCTACCTAACTAATTATATCTAATTTACAAAATAAAAGCTTACTAATACTAATCACGTGAACATAAAAATAGGGCACATGTTTTAGAATGTAAAATAGGGTACATGTTGTACTTGTAGAATGTAAAACAATAAGTAGAGATATATTTTAGAATGTCTTTGTTTTAACTTAAAAGTATTAAACGTTTTTAAGGGGCGTTTAAGAGGCGTGAAATCGTCCCTTAAAACACACTTACTGTGTCCAGCGCTGTATGCAGCACCTGATAGCATCCAACCCTAGCAGCACATAATAAACACACTTACTGTGTCCAGCGCTGTATGCAGCACCTGATAGCATCCAACCCTAGCAGCACATAATAAACACACTTACTGTGTCCAGCGCTATATGCAGCACCTGATAGCATCCAACCCTAGCAGCACATAATAAACACACTTACTGTGTCCAGCGCTGTATGCAGCACCTGATAGCATCCAACCCTAGCAGCACATAATAAACACACTTACTGTGTCCAGCGCTGTATGCAGCACCTGATAGCATCCAACCCTAGCAGCACATAATAAACACACTTACTGTGTCGAGCGCTGTATGCAGCACCTGATAGCATCCAACCCTAGCAGCACATAATAAACACACTTACTGTGTCCAGCGCTGTATGCAGCACCTGATAGCATCCAACCCTAGCAGCACATAATCCGTAAAGTAGGCGATGTAGCAGAGATATATGGGTATTCCAAATAGACCGTACACCATGGTGATGTACTTTGCTATTGCTGTGTGGGGGTACACTAGACCGTATCCTAAACGAAGGGGCGATTTTTACTCGCATATATTGTATACTGATACATTGTATACATTGTATACATTGTATACATATATAGGAATTATGAATTAGGATATAAGCGTTTTTAACCAAAATGGTGTGAGTACTATCATAATATAAGAAGGACGATATATTTGAGGACAATATACATATAATTATATCATAAGGAAGATAAAAAAGTTAAAATTTTAGAATTTATAACTCCGAAATCTAAACTTTGCCTAAAAATGACAGATATTGAAGTAAGACGCTTAACTGAAACAATAACTACAGTTGCCCACCAAGAGTTGTTATGACGGTGTTACAGAACTGGAATGATCCCCAGAAAACCCAATCATTACCCACTCTGTCGTTATTCTTTCTGCACATCTGCTGTTGCAGTGTCAGCAACTCTGGTCAATAAGTAACTACTATTATACTATAAATATGTTTAATAAATAGGTTTATATACTGTAACGTGGTAATTTCTCAAACTGAAATCGGGGTTGTTCAAAGGGTACAGGATGTTCAGCTCGACAAAATACCGGCGGAAAATATTTCGTAGGCCCTATAATTACTCCTCCAAATCCAGTTGTACCCTTAAATTTTACATAACTCACTACCTAAAGTTATACTTATAGCTCTTATACCTCGGATTAGAACCTGTAAAACTGGCATTTAGCTCACCATTTTTGAGATTCAAGCAAATCGATTCAATGCCCACACACACTCGAACACATACACACGCATGTATAAATACAAACCTGCAAGGATGTTGGTTGCATTGTCTATATGTCCTTCAAAGTGTTGAAGTGTTTCGTACGCCTCAGCGTTCCTTTTCGTCTCCCCCTATTAGCAAGTGCAATATTTTCAGTTTTGAGTTTTATATTACCAAGTGGTTAGTGGATGAGTACGCTTATTGTATATGGGGTCGTTCACATATTACGTAATCAGCCGAGGGGGGGGGGGGGGGGGGGGGGGCTATTGTATTTTTTAATTTTGTTGATTCTTTAAGTTTAAGATCTTACCCTGTTTTCGACGATCATGAAGACAAAAGTAGCGGCTAAGATGAACCCTACATTTACCACAAGGATTAAAATAGAGTAGAACACACTGATGGCTTGCTGAAATGTATGAAGAGTTGGACTTACTGATCCAAGTAGAAGAAAATGTTGTTTAACCCATATTCTTCCACGGTACTTTTAAAAGTACGGTTCATAAACAGTGACCTAACTTGTCTCGTGACAAATATTTTTTAATACAGTTTTTTGCATTAGGTTAGAAAAGGTCTGTTGATGATTTTAACACCCTGGCCAGATGGGTAAAAAAAGCAAGAAATTTATAGGATGTTGGCAAAGGTGGTCAAAAATGGTACTTTGAAAAATGGTAAATCCTCGGTACCACCAGCCAATTCTCCAACTTTGATAGATCCCAAATTTGGTTTTTTAATATTGCCTAAACGATTGTGCAATAAATAGGCAATAATGTGGGGCGACATAAAAATCATAAATTGCCTCTAATTGAGATGTTAATTGGGTGTACTTTTAAAAGTACATCATTCTAGACAATGATGTACTTTTAAAAGTACGTACTTTTAAAAGTGCATTATCTTCAAATATTGTACTTTTAAAAGGACAGGTTTCACGAAAAATGTACTTTTAAAAGTACAGGTTTATAATTTATATAGACTACACAATGTGTGCTGGCATGATTAACGTCGGTAAGACTGTAATGGCAGGTAAATTGTTCTGAATCAGTACGGAAGTCACAACAGAAACTTTCTGTTGTGACTTCTGGGATTTAGTCGATCTTGAAGGATCCACGTTTTCTCCCGGTTATTCCGCGTCTTGCAGAGCGGCCTTCAATATACTCTTACTTAATGCGGGGGGTGGGTCATATTTTCTTCCAAAACACAGTTACTGTTAGTACTTTTGTAATAAGTGGTGGGTCTGCTGCTCATTTCCCAGAAAATCAGTTAGTACAAGGTACTAAGGGGGTGTCCAACCCCAAAAATCCATTTTACCTCAAATTTCAATTTTGGGAATGGGTTTTTTTGGGTTTTGACTTTTTTTTCCTTTTTTTTGGGTTTTTTAAAAATTTTGTTTCCTTTTTTTGTAACTTTTTATTTAATTCGACTGCATTGGAAACAAAACCCCTATTAAATAGTGGGTATACTTTGTCCATTTCCCAATGTTTAATGAGCTGTTTAAAGCAATTTATGGGAGGGTATCTTATTTTATATACCAAAACACAGTCAGTACCGTGATTTCTCAACTTGGTACCTGATAACCCCCCCCCCCCCCCGCTTAATGTTCACAATCCTAGATCTTGTAACTGGTTTCCGAACTCCAATGTATGTTAACTATTAAATACTGACATGATTGTGTGCCATCAGCAATCTGCTGTTCCAACATAAGATTCCTTTCCTTGTAGTCTATGCATTTCCTCAGCTGAGTTGTTCTGTTCCTCTAGAACTCTCTCCACCTCTGCTACTCTCGTCTGTTTCTCTAGAATTCTCTCCACCTCTGCTACTCTCTTCTGTTCCTCTATAACTCTCTCAGCGTCTGCTACTCTCCTCTGTTTCTCTAGAATTCTCTCTACCTCTGCTACTCTCTTCTGTTCCTCTAGAACTCTCTCAGCTTCTGCTACTCTCATCTGTTCCTCTAGAATACGCTCAGCTTCTGCTACTCTCTTCTGTTCCTCTAGAATACGCTCAGCTTCTGCTATTCTCTTCTGCTCCTCTAGAACTCTCTCAGCTTCTGCTACTCTCGTCTGTTTCTCTAGAATTCTCTCCACCTTTGCTACTCTCTTCTGTTCCTCTAAAATACGCTCAGCTTCTGCTACTCTCTTCTGTTCCTCTAGAACTCTCTCAGCTTCTGCTACTCTCGTCTGTTTCTCTAGAATTCTCTCCACCTCTGCTACTCTCTTCTGTTCCTCTATAACTCTCTCAGCTTCTGCTACTCTCCTCTGTTTCTCTAGAATTCTCTCTACCTCTGCTACTCTCTTCTGTTCCTCTAGAACTCTCTCAGCTTCTGCTACTCTCTTATGCTCCTCTAAAATACGCTCAGCTTCTGCTACTCTCTAGTCTCTTCTGTTCCTCTAGAACTCCCTCAGCTTCTGCTAGTCTCGTCTGTTTCTCTAGAATTCTCTCCACCTTTGCTACTCTCTTCTGTTCCTCTAGAATACGCTCAGCTTCTGCTACTCTCTTCTGTTCCTCTAGAACTCTCTCAGCTTCTGCTACTCTCGTCTGTTTCTCTAGAATTCTCTCCACCTCTGCTACTCTCTTCTTTTCAACTAGAACTATCTCAGCTTCTGCTACTCTCTTCTGTTCCTCTAGAACTCTCTCAGCTTCTGCTACTCTCTTCTGTTCCTCTAGAATACGCTCAGCTTCTGCTACTCTCTTCTGTTCCTCTAGAATTGTCTCCACCTCTGCTACTCTCTTCTTTTCCACTAGAACTATCTCAGCTTCTGCTAGTCTCTTCTGCTCCTCTAGAACTCTCTCAGCTTCTGCTACTCTCTTCTGTTCCTCTAGAACTCTTTCAGCTTCTGCTACTCTCCTTTGCTCCTCTAGAACACGCTCAGCTTCTGCTACTTTCTTCTATTCCTCTAGAATTGTCTCAGCCTCTGCTACTCTCTTCTCATTCTCACCATTTTCGGTATTCTTTAAGTTGTGAAAAGCGTTTGGCTAAGTGTGAAGTGTGTGACGTTGCACTTTGTGTGCTTTGTTTATCCTTAGACTTATAATCAGTTAGAGTAAAAAGCACGAAACCTGAAAATTTTCGTAAAATTCTAGTAAATTGGTAAATGGAATTATGATAGTAGTTTATAAGTATAGCTGTTCCCACCATCACGATTTGTTTAGTGTACCACTTAAATTTTGTATGTATTGTTTAAATTTTATTCAGCCATTCTGACAAGGGCTTTTAGTTTTATTATCTGACCCTGAGTTTCTGTTTAATTAAGTAACGTACCTCCAGAAGTACACTATTCATTAAACCCGTACTTTTAAAAGTACATTATTCATTAAACCCGTACTTTTTAAAGTACATCATTCAAATATGATGTACTTTTAAAAGTACGATGCAATGTTTCAAAAAAGTAAGCTCCAACAATGAACTTTTAAAAGTACGGGTCGAAAAAGCTATAAAAAATATAAATTTTTTCAAAATAATTATTGCATCGTCGGAGTTGGTGTCTTAGTGCTTAGGAAACAAAATTTCATCAAAAAATTCGAACGTTTAGAGTTGTTGGTATTATATGGGTTAAAGCGTTCAATTTCATTCATTCATTAACCCTCGAAAGCGCACATTTACTGGCAAAATATATTTTAACGTAAGTCAATATCATCCCTGCCACAGGAATTGCAAATAATCATAAAACTTCATAGATGATCTTTAAAATGAACATTTGTTATAGTTCTATTTCATAAACTCACAGTATTTTCAGGCTCCACTTCTTGATCTTCTGTTATAACTGGTTCCTGGATGTCTGACAGAACAGTAGATTCGTTCTCGGAGTCACCTACAGTAAAAGGTCATGTCTTAGAGTATTTTATTTAGGTAATAGATTGCTTTTCAATTAAAATGGGTTTATCTTGATGATATCGTTATTGTTGGCTGTTATAATAGTGCAGGGTATTTTTATTGGTTGATAAAGTTATGCATTACATCTTAGAACAAAATAAAGGTAAACTCACTGAAATTATCAAAGAATTGATAGCCAGAGTGCCGGAAAGATGTCTTGTTTCCATTTTGTTCGTTAGCTAAGCGTTTAATTGGACCTGCCAAGCCTATATTACCCTGTAAATTGTAAAAGTGTGTTTTTATAACTTATCTATTTCCTCTTCCTGATAATATATAAATAGCATGTTTCCTTGTAGCAACAAACGGAATAACTAAAAATGATTTAAACGAAAAACAACACTACGAATTTATTGGTGCAGCAAAGCCTTGGACTCTTTGACAAAGTAATGTAAATATATACAGGGTGGGCCAAAAGTAACGTTACATACTTTTGGCCTACCCTGTAATACTATGCTTCCTAAACCGTACCAGTTCCCTAGGGTTTAACCAGGGTGTAACCAGGGTGTAACCAGGGTGTAACCAGGGTGTAACCAGGGTGTAACCAGGGTGTAACCAGGGTGTAACCAGGGTGTAACCAGGGTGTAACCAGGGTGTAACCAGGGTGTAACCAGGGTGTAACCAGGGTGTAACCAGGGTGTAACCAGGGTGTAACCAGGGTGTAACCAGGGTGTAACCAGGGTGTAACCAGGGTGTAACCAGGGTGTAACCAGGGTGTAACCAGGGTGTAACCAGGGTGTAAACAGGGTGTAACCATGGTGTAAACAGGGTGTAACTAGGGTGTAACCAGGGTGTAACCAGGGTGTAACCAGGGTGTAACCAGGGTGTAACCAGGGCCAGGGTGTAACCAAGGTGTAACCAGGGTGTAACCAGGGTGTAACCAGGGTGTAACCAGGGTGTAACCAGGGTGTAACCAGGGTGTAACCAGGGTGTAACCAGGGTGTAACCAGGGTGTAACCAGGGTGTAACCAGGGTGTAAACAGGGTGTAACCATGGTGTAACCAGGGTGTCACCAGGGTGTAACCAGGGTGTAACCAGGGTGTAACCAGGGTGTAACCATGGTGTAACCATGGTGTAAACAGGGTGTAACTAGGGTGTAACCAGGGTGTAACCAGGGTGTAACCAGGGTGTAACCAGGGTGTAACCAGGGCCAGGGTGTAACCAGGGTGTAACCAGGGTGTAACCAGGGTGTAACCAGGGTGTAACCAGGGTGTAACCAGGGTGTAACCAGGGTGTAACCAGGGTGTAACCAGGGTGTAACCAGGGTGTAACCAGGGTGTAACCAGGGTGTAACCAGGGTGTAACCAGGGTGTAACCAGGGTGTAACCAGGGTGTAACCAGGGTGTAACCAGGGTGTAACCAGGGTGTAACCAGGGTGTAACCAGGGTGTAACCAGGGTGTAACCAGGGTGTAACCAGGGTGTAACCAGGGTGTAACCAGGGTGTAAACAGGGTGTAACCAGGGTTGTAACCAGGTTGTAACCAGGTTGTGACCAGGTCGTAAACAGGGTGTAACCAGGGTGTAACCAGGATCCATCTTCGCCTCCTGGTTACAATATAAGCCGAAGTAAAATAAGTATCTTCAATAATATATAATATACTATATATAATATACTATAATAAATAGTTGAAATAAGTATTAACCTCAGACTTTGCTTTAGGCAGGATAACCTGCGTCAAAGGTACTTGTTCTGTTACAACCTGATTGTTGAATTATTTTCAATTCAAGATTTATTTTTCATGGTTTATAGACGATTGCAGACGAATCCAGCTTGTAATATAAATACTCAACAATATAGACATAATTAGCAATGTAATTAATAATGATACAATTAATATACTAATATAGACATAGCAAACATCACAACCAAAACAACCTAAAAATTAACCAGTTTTATAGATCGTTTCTGTTTTTGAAGATTTTGACACATCTTGTTGTTATTGTGCTATGGTTTAAAATAAGGAACATTGTTGAAATGTTGTCCTACCTTACAGTCAGCCTGATCATCATCACTGTTGGGGCAGACCAGAGATTGGCTGCTCATCTCTGTGAAATTAAATGCTCTTATTACGTTAACATAGCAAACTTATATTATAATAGTGAGGTTTAAAAACGAAACAAACGCGAAATAAAAAAAACATGTTTATCAAACAAAATGAAATACGTTTGAATCTGGCCTGAGCTCGATAGAAAAGCTTCTCTCTAACATGAACACGAGATGTGGTTACCATGACAACTACACCGGTTAAAATGTGATACAGACAGCAGCTGCATACAGCCCAAACGTAGATATGAGAAGTGGAGACTTTTTACGTTGTTTTATAACTTCAGCTTATATATATCTTTATATATGTGGACATGATGTGACGTGAATCATGTTGGCTGGCTGTTTGGCAACCAGTTTATCAACATTGGAGAAAAGAATCTGATGATCCAACTCTTTAATCTTATTACATAATATTAACCATAATATAAACCATAATATAAACCGCTTATTACATGATATAAACCTACTACAAGGGTTATGGTTTGCTTCGAGTTGGAGGACTTCGCCGCTTCGACGCGCCGCGCAAACTAGCATTCTTGCTTCGCAGAGCAACGATCTCGATGGATTGACATCGTCAATCAAGCTTCGAGATTTTGGTTTGTGTCAGGGTTGAGTAATAGTTTTGGGTTTCAAGACTGGCGGCTGCTTCGTTCGGCTTCAAACCCCACAATTACAGGATAGTGCGCTGGTGAGTGAACTAATAAAAACCAAAGACTTCAAAATCCATTGTTATAGCCAACGTTTCACTCTTATTGCTCTTATTATATGGATATTTTCAGCTTAATTGATAAAGCTGGAAATTTGTCACAAACTCATTTTCGTCGTGGTGACGTAACTACACAAACAATTGCAATTCATAAGCTAGACAAACAACGTATAGTAATCAAAATTCTTTATTAGTTGATCCAGTCAAAAATACTGAACATGCCTATAATATAATTGTCGGTTCAAAGTTTTTCGGACCTCTTTTTTCGTTTATCCATTGAGGAAGTGATTTGGGGTTGGAGTATAAGTAAAAGCAATTATCATAAAGGAAATTTGTGGGCCACCTTAAATAGTAAATTTAGTCAATTCCTACCTTTAATTTTCAATTTTGGCTGAAAATTTAAAGTTTAAATCCTCGATTATTATGAATAAAACTATATTCAAAATTTAACTGTTCCATGCATGTTTAACCAAAACCCAAATAATTTATGAATAGGTAATTAGTTCAACTTCATTTAATTTAACCACCTCGCATTCTCACAGGTTTAAAAAAATGAAACGATATGTTTTAATTCAAATTCGCTTTTGATATTTCTCATTATCTCATTTTCTTTAAACAAATAAGTTGTGAACAATAGATTATGGTTTAGAATAATTCTATTAATAATAATAATAATAATTAATGAGAGTATAATACACTGTAGATACTTTATATTTAGTTTATTCTTCACTGGATACTGTAATAAACACTTTTTACCTGGTCCTCTTATATCTCTTCCCTTGCTATGCAAGCCCTGTCTCTTGTTTATACAATTTTTAACCCGTATATTGGGTAGACTGTGTATTTGTTATGTATTTTATATTATACAGTTTTGTGTACAAGTAATTATTGTTATTTACTGGACTAAGGGGTATACATGTGTTGGAGTTTTTCTCTTATTTTTCTTCTCTTGCTCTGCATGCCCTGATTCTTGTATAAACATGATGTTTGTTTAAATATTGTATATTCTTGTATTGATTGTGGTATTTTGTGGGTCAGATTCAGCAATACCCAATGGGTACTTGCTGAATCACTGTTTTATACACTCTGTAGCCAGTCCCTGTGTTCCGTCCCTTGCCCTGCAAGCCCTGTTTCTTGTTTATACAGCATTTATTTATCGTGTATTACATTGTAGTATGTAATAAACATTTGTAGTAGTGTAGGATTGTTTGAATTTCTTTTTGCTAGGTTTTATAATATTTATTTGTATAATTTGTGATTGTTTCTCCCGGTTTTCTTCCCTTGCGTAGCAAGCCCTGTCTCTTGTAAAAACAACCTCGAAAGATTTGTAGATACACATAGTCTCTACACCTTTACCCTCTGGTCCCTAGGGTCAGCTGATCCCGGGCCAGAGGAAAACTACCGACTGCCAAGGTTTGACGCCTATGCAGTCGAGACCTCTTATTGAGACCCTTTATAATAATAATAACAAAGTATTTATATCCCGCTCATATTAGCAACTAGTAACCAAGAATGGTACTAGCTACTAATGTCAGAGCGGCTGTCCAAACAAAGATAAAACTTTAATAATTTAGAATTCTCCAACAAAAAAATTCTCAATTTCCTTTAAACTGCTTATTCGTAACACTAACGTCTAAAAACTATATTATACGACAGACATGGTGGTACAATCAGACATCAGATGGAATAAACTATAAGAGAAAAATAATAATCTCGACACATAATGGTTACCTTTATTTATTCAAAAGAATTTAATTAATTGAACTTCATTATACACTCTTCTTTATTTGTAGATCAAAACAACAAACACAAACTGAGGCCTGCATCCCCGTCATCCCCCGTTATTAGTTAAAAATATTTATGAATGCTGTTTGTTCTGTAGAAAAAATTAAAATGTAAAATCATATAGGATACATGACATAACAGATTCGTTTTACTTGTTTGCATGAATAGCATTAATATAACAAAATATATGTTGCTTGAGTGTCGAGTGATCAGCAACCGGCCTCGAGCATGAGCACGTAAGGAGAGATGAGCACAAAAAGAGGAACGGATTGAGAGCTTCCAGTAACCAGTTTACTATTTAAGCATTTATGACTCGAGATATAAATATAATATTAATCATTATCACGATGTGCGAATGCTTATTTTCTTAGCTTTGTATTGGTTTTTCATTATTAAGACATTTTCTGAATTTGGTCGCTCAGTATAAGCTGCATAGCAGATAACATGGAAAAGTCGCACAACTAATAGTTTAGATATGTAGAAGAGGAACGTAACTTTAACTGTAGGGAAACTTAGTGACCAATTAGTGACCAATTAGCTGTAAGGACACTGGGAGACACATTCAGCGGAGACTGATCTTCTTGTTCGGTGGTGGAGATGGGCACGATCACTCTCTCTTACTGAAAATAATTAAGTTGAAACACATTTATAATCCATTTATTAATCTATAATGAACTGACTGACCCAGCGGCGTGCTACATTACGGCTCATTCACCGTGGTCACAGTCAATTGCGGTCAATTTCGACAGGATTTTAAAGTGAGAGTAAAGCATGGTTGGAGCACTATATTAATATAGCGTATTCCAATTGTTAACACGAAACAAAACCGCGCAAAATATGAAGTGCATGGTCTACAACCAAACCACAGATCGACGTGACGGTGACACGTTGCAGATGCGTGCAGTATTTTCAAGTTTTGTACGCCTAATATGGGGTCGTTCACATATTACGTAATCAGCCGAGGGGGGGGGGGGGGGGGGGGGTTCAAATGCTTACGGTTGATTACAATTTAAGTAAAACGATTACATTGTAGGGAAATTTGATCGTGCGTGGTGGAATTTAACAGGAATTTAACACGAAATGACCAAGTGGTGTAACCGCGGCGAAATTCTTGTTAAATTCAATCTTAATTAAGTTATGCAAATTGATTGATTTCTCACCGATCTGATTGCAAGAGTCTGAATAACATTCTACACATGTCCCCCGTTCTTTTGCTGTCTCCCCGCATGGTCCACAACCACTAACACTTTTGTAATCTGCTGTACTGGCCGGCCTGAATAGAACAGTGTTATAGTGACTAATTAGTGACCAATTAGTGGACAATTAGTGACTAATAAGTGGCCAATTAGTGACCAATAAACTCAAATCTACCATTTCTCATATGCTTCTACTCAGCTTCCTTAATTCTTTATCAGAGAAAGTGTAACATTAAGCATTATAAAAATTATACATTATAATTCTAAAGATTAACGTAACATTATGATTTGTGACTAAATTTATATTCAGATGAGTATAGACTTTACAGCGCCTACAAAGCAATGGTTCTCAATTCTCAGAATATGTTCGGAATAGGCTTTCTTTATAATATTAAAGTAATAATTATTTGCCTGCATTCATAAAAATGTTTAAAGTAAAATTGCACGATGATAAGTTTTTAAAACATCACGTATAAACTATAAATGACATTTTGTTTAAAATTTGTCATCAAGTTACGATTGCTAGGTCACGTTTGGACAAATTTATCAAGCAGAAAATACAAACTGTTTTGATCACGGCCAACATATGCATATGATATGGTGATCTGTGCAAATGAAAAGATAGCGTATCACTTTTAGAGCATCATAGTCAGACCAATTAGTGACCAATTAGTGTTCCAGATAACCTAAACTTACATGTTGCAGGTGATAGCTGTACCTTCAGATCTTCAACAGGTGGTGACTAATTAGTGACCAATTAGTGACCAAGTAGTGACCAATTAGTAACCAATTAGTGTTTCAGATAACCTAAACTTACATGTTGCAGGTGATAGCTGTAACTTCAGATCTCCAACAGGTGGTGACCAATTAGTGACCAATTAGTGACCAATTAGTGACCAATTAGTGACCAATTAGTGTTTCAGATAACCTAAACTTACATGTTGCAGGTGATAGCTGTACCTTCAGATCTCCAACAGGTGGTGACCAATTAATGACCAATTAGTGACCAAGTAGTGACCAATTAGTGACCAATTAGTGTTTCAGATAACCTAAACTTACATGTTGCAGGTGATAGCTGAGCCTTTAGATCTCCAACAGGTGGTGAGAGTTGGGTGTCTGGTGATAGCACCTCCTGCTACTTTGTAGTTGTAGCACGAGTAACTCTCCTCCAGCACTACAGGTGAAGTAAGGTATTTATAATAAGTAATAGCACGTGGTCGCTCACCTGGAACATCAGAAAACACTCATTAACAAGTACAAAGTAAATCGAACAACATGTGGTAATGGCGTATGAAAAATACAGTAGAAAAGTTAACCTGGTGGCTGGTTACACCCGGACACGCTGCATTCCGCACACTCAAACGAGAGTTCCGGGTCACACGGCCCACATCCGTAATCCACTCCGCTGGCAAACCCTACATGCTCTGTTAGCTTGGGCCTGACAGTGGGTTTAGTTTCATGGTTATTTTAAAAACCAACGCAATTTTTAATTATTTATTTTAGCTTATCATGAGATTTGTTATAATAATAAAGTCAAGTTAAGTAATAACTTAGTTAAGTTAAGTTATAACTTAGTTAAGCTAAATAATAACTTAGTTAAGTTAAGTGATAACTTAGTTGTTAATCGTTCCAGATTGGAACAAAAAAACGTATAAAAGCACGGCAGCCAAATAATGTTGTAGTACTATTATAATTATAACCCATGGTATATACAACTATTTCCCTTCTAAGACCGTTCAAAACAATACCCTGTACCCGCATATTAATGTCACTATTGCGCATATAAATATCAAATGTTGGAGTAGTTCGCTGTTTTAGTTTATTAGTCTCATGATGAAATACTGATAGTTGGATCATAATACTTTCAACACTACTATCTCACTATATTTTGGCGACCGCGGTGAATGTCCTTGCTGTACGACAGTTTTAAACAAGGAACTGAAACCGAGGGGTTCCGTTCAGGCCCTTCACAATTTGTGGTGAGCAGCTGTGGAAGATAAAATCGCGAATAAAGAAATTTTGCCGAGTTCTAAGACCCTTCCATGCTCTTTTTAGTTCGCTGCCTTTTTATCAGGGATAACCACGAAAAGAAGATACGATTGGAAGCTTTCAAGTAACTAATTGAACTAATTGAACTAATTGAACTAATTGAACTAATTGAACTAATTGAACTAATTGAACTAATTGAACTTATTGAACTAATTGAACTAATTGATAACGTACCTATAACAGGAGACAGTACCGACAGGACAATTAACGAAAGGAGCAGTGCTGTTAGCTCCCTGTATACACTGGATTTCAGCATCTGAGAAGAAATTTGTTAGTACAATGCGGTATCTGGTATATAAAATGTATATTATATTTACTATACTTATAGGTAGTCTATATATATATATATACCATTATTTGGGTATATGGTACGTTAAATCGGAGTTTTGATTTGTGACTCACAGTTTACTAATACTAATTTAGTCAAACCATCTATAATCCAACTTATTTAAGGTTCTGAAACTCACCTGAAATCATCAGCAGCATGCTAAGTCCAGCAATTATCGTCATCATGTTCCAAAACATTGGGCTGCTCATTACTTAAACTGACCGATGATTAAGATATAAAGAATTTTCGATATAAGTGCGACCCTCAAAAACAAATACAAAGGAAAAGTGGTGACCACGGCCACTAAGCAACAAAAAATCCTGAGTCACCAAAAGATCGGACCAAATCACCCAATTTATAAATTATAAATAAGAAAGATCTGTAAAATTTAGCACATGTGTCAGATCAAAACCTTAAGTTTTCTACCATTAGTATTACTATAAGACCCCAAAATGTCGGAGCACTAAAAGCACTCCTTCATGACTAAATTGATGTTTTATGAACAGGGCTATTGATCAGGACGTAAACTGATTGCAAAATAGGCTTTGTTGCTTAATGGGTGACGAATTGTGAAATTCGAATTAGTTGCCATATTAGAGAGGAATTTGCATCCGGTTCAACATAACTTCCATGCAGTAACCTTAATATCATCTCAAAGATAAATTGATGTCAGATATCAATACCAAATCCAGTGGCAGAACAAAATACAACAAATCGAATAGAAATCAAACGATATATATTCAGTTAAGTTTGAAGCACGGGCTTATGTGACTTCCTTTGTTAAATTCCTCTGTCAGATCTGTTTCCGGATGCACACGTGGAAATGTATTGTCTTCGATACAAAAAACTTGCTAAGAAATGAAAGGTCACTCGATCCTTATTATACCTATTTATTATACCTACCTTATCGGACATTAAAATAAAAGCTCGAAGGCATTCGTGATCAGTATTTAATTTAACTACCCCAGACATCGCCTTGGCAGAAGAAGTCGAAATGGTCTATACTAATCAAAGCAGTTGCATGAACTTGTGCTTGAAATCACAAATTTAAAAAATTTAAACAGAACCTTTTGTGTTCTTCAGACATCATGCTCACGTTTAAATAACCAGGACTATAATAGATAAAGCCACAAATAGTCCACGAATACTTGCAGTATCATTGTGATAAGGACAATACTGCCATGCAGCTCCGTGAAATTTACTTCTTTATCAGGATCATCAATCACATGATCATGTCAACAAAAACGTGATCTTATCGACGTATTGTCTGATCTCCAATAAACGTCACAAATAATGCGGTGAAGGAGCACTATTTTTACTTTTTAAGTGGCTCATTGGTCAATTTCTAGCTATAGATATTGACCAATTTTAGTTATTGAAGTAAGCGATGCATTAGAATTCAAGATTTTGAGCAACTGGTTGGCTGACTAAACAATATAAAGATTTTAAGAAAGAGAAGAGAAATATAAGAGAAAGGGAAGAGAAAGGGAAGAGAAAGGGAAAATGAAAGAGAAAGCAGTGATTAATCTTCCTTTGCTTAGCTGGATATAAAAGTTTAGTGGATAATCTTCGGATAAATACCACCAAAAAATAAAAGCAACTACTCAACTAGATGTAGTGACATTATTTAAACTCTTGAAATTACCTGCTATCTAATCAAAAAGACTGAAGAAAGTGAAGAAGCTACCGAGCTCATTACACGTGATCTGAAAATAAGCTAATCCTAGTGAGTCAGGGCAGAGTTTACACTTGGTGAATGTCAGCATGTGATATTTTAGTCGGATACACCATATCAAAGGTGAATTAGGTCACAGCTTTGATGTTATTGTTGGTACTTGGTGATTGCTTGTTGGCGAGACTGTTCTGGTGCATCACGTACTATTAGTATTATAGAGTTGTGTTGAAATGGAGGAAATTGTCTAGAAGCTGAAACACATAACGCTCGTTAACTTAATTTAAGCAATAAGCACCTATGAATGTCACTTGTCCTACTCCTTTGATCACAGTGCCGGCAAGCACGACCGTCGGCCATTATTCCCCCTCGTTCATCCCAGAAGAATCACAACTCTGAGCACGTAAAAATCGCAGGGCTCATGAGTCGCTCAACAGGTTAATTTTTAGTTCAAAATATTCTAATTCAATGTCAAAGATGACAGGAATAAAAATAGTTATGTGGAGATTTTAAAGAAATTTGCATTAAATACGCGCCAGCACTGTTATACGACCTTATACGAATTTTAATTTTAAACAACCCCGAAATGGCCTCATTCAGGTGCCTTGAAACCATGTTAAAAGGCAAAGTACAATTGAATGATTATTTTGATTTATCCTACTTGCGATTACGACGTGACGTAGAATCAAACAATCATGAATTGTTTTAAAGTATAATCATTGTGCATCAGCAGAATAAAGTGGCCGAGGCCACATTTCCGGATAAGGGTGGTAGTTAGTGTCTAATTAGCTGATGTTTATGGAATCATTATTGCCGAGTAGAGCTGCCTTCGGGAAGTTTTTCTTAATATAATATTCCAATGGAAGAAGGGGGCGACCGATTTCATTCTCGGTATCATTTTGCATTTACGGACGGTCATTCATATTAATATAATTTACTTTTGTTTGGGAAAGAGAGACACTGGCAGCAGTCCACTATACGTGATCTTATCGACGTATTGTCTGATCTCCAATAAACGTCACAAATGCGGTGAAGGAGCACTCTTTTTACTTTTTAAGTGGCTCATTGGTCAATTTTTAGCTATAGATATTGACCAATTTTAGTTATTGAAGTAAGCGATGCATTAGAATTCAAGATTTCGAGCAACTGGTTGGCTGACTAAACAATTGCAATATAAAGATTTTAGGAGAAGAGAAATATAAGAGAAATAGAAGAGAAAGAAAAGAGAAAGGGAAGAGAAATAGAAGAGAAATAGAAGAGAAAGGGAAAGCAGTGATTAATTTTACTTTTCTTAGCGTATATTTAAAGTCTATTCGATAATCTTCGGATAAATACCACCAACAAATAAAAGAAACTACTCTCGACTAGATGTAGTGACATAACTGAAAAGGACTGAAGAACAAAGAAGTAGCCAGCTCATTACACGGTGAAGATAAGCTGATCGGTACCGCGACAATTGACCCCCCGACAATTGACCCCCGACAATTGACCCCCCGACAATTGACCTCCCGACAATTGACCCCTATGTAATTACACTGGGGTCAATTGTCGCGAAATCTAGGGTTAAGTACGACAATTGACCCCCCGACAATTGACCCCCCATGTAATTACACTGGGGTCAATTGATCGAGTTAGGGTCAGGATCCTGGGTCAGGGTTAGGGTTAGGGTCCTGGGTCAGGGTAAGGGTTAGGGTTAGGGTTATGGTTAGAGTTAGGGTCAGGGTCAGGGTCAGGGTCAGGGTCAGGGTCAGGGTCAGGGTCAGGGTCAGGGTCAGGGTCAGGGTTAGGGTTAGGGTTACGGTCAGAGTCCTGGGTCAGGGTCAGGGTTAGGGTCAGGGTCAGGGTTAGGGTTAGGGTTAGAGTTAGGGTTAGGGCTAGGGTTATGGTTAGGGTTAGGGTTAGGGTTAGGGTTAGGGTCAGGGTCAGGGTCAGGGTCAGGGTCAGGGTCAGGGTCAGGGTCAGGGTCAGGGTCAGGGTCAGGGTCAGGGTCAGGGTCAGGGTCAGGGTCAGGGTCAGGGTCAGGGTCAGGGTCAGGGTCAGGGTCAGGGTCAGGGTCAGGGTCAGGGTCAGGGTCAGGGTCAGGGTCAGGGTCAGGGTCAGGGTCAGGGTCAGGGTCAATTGTATTAAATTACATTGTCGGGGGGGTCAATTGTCGGGGGGTCAATTGTCGGGGGGTCAATTGTCGGGGGGTCAATTGTCGCCCACCCAAGCTGATCTTAGTGAGTCAGGGCAGAGTTTACACTTGGTGAATGTCAGCATGTGATAATAGATATTTTAGTCTGATACACCATATCAAAGGTGAATTAGGTCACAGCTTTGATGTTATTGTTGGCGACCCTGTTCAATTTTCCGTATCTAATTGACGCATCACGTGCTATCATAGAGTTGTGTTATATTAAATATGCTCTTTCATTGGGTTGTCAGATCAAACTTATTATTTATTTACAGTGTACTACCCAAATGCTCTTTCAGGTTGGATAAAAGTTGCAAATGTTGCTCATGGGTAAGTGCCATCAACGAATTTGAAATGAAAACAGTAGAATTAGGTCTAATACTACATCGTAACCAATGTTTGTGCTGTCAAGTCAGAAAAAAAAATCTCCAGCACTAAGCACTTATAAAAGTAAGATCAGAGCAAAACTATTATCATTACTAATTGCCTAATTGACCAAGACTCGTGCCTAATTGACCAACACTCGTGCCTAATTGACCAACACTCGTGCCTAATTGAACAACACTCGTGCCTAATTGAACAACACTCGTGCCTAATTGAACAACACTCGTGCCTAATTGATCTGCACTCATAGAAAAATTAGAACAAAACAATAACTGCATCGAAGTGGGTTGTTTTTGTAAAACTCAGTGGTTAAACCAACCTGTATACTTAAGTTAGTACACCTGAGTGTGTTCTACACATGTGTCCCGAACGTTTCGAACATATCGGTCATGCAGTCAAGCAATTGACATGACTGTATTATCGAATGCAGTTTGAAACACGACTTTGTAGCAGTACAATAGGATGCCGAACAATGTCAATAAGTCAAATGCAAGTGTAGGCTATTCGAATCTATACTAAAAATCTCAAAATGTGTGTGCGTCTGTGCGCGTGTAATTTCCGAACGGCTTTATCAAGAAAACGGTTAGAGTTAAGGGACTGGTTCTTTTCGGTATAGTGCCGAGAAAACTATGAGGAAGCAAATAAGCAAAGTTTTTATAAATCGGCCGGTGGTAAGTGGTTTAATTGATGGTTTTGTACCCCAAATGTGACACTAAAGTGTTTCACTTTTTCCCCTCTCTCACACTCTCTCTCCCCATTTACAGCTCGACCCCTAATTCTCTAATTACAGCATTGGTTTATAATTAGGTAATTTGGCAGTAGAGCTAGGAGCTGCAAGATTGCCTATTAAGTATTACTATTGGATACGTGTTGGTTTTGACTGAGCGAGTGATCATGCTTTTACACCGTTTAAACCTTCGCACCGTTTATACTTTTGAAATTTAACTGCGATAGTGAAGTCCCGGCCCCCACCCCCGGCCGTAGGCACGGGTTACACGAGTTAATTTAA